ACACACACACACTTTCATTACACATTTTCAGCTTTTGATGGACTAGATTCATTTTTAGATAAAAAGATTGAGTTTGAAGCGCAAATAACCCTCATCTGCAACATGACCATCATGTTGAGTGCGTGTGCGTGTGTGCGTGCAGAGCTGCTAGTCTATCTCCACGGCTTGTTTATGATGAATGTCCTGTAATTGGATTTTAAACACACTTTCTCCCCTAACCATTAAGCTGAAAATTCATTGCTGCCATTTCAGTGAACGAGAGAGAGACAGAGAGAGTTACAGAGAGAGAGACTCAATTTAATCCCATGTAGATCCATCCACCAAATTAGCTTTTCCATCAGACACCTTCCCCATCTACACACACACACACACACAGACACACTGAAGTGAACATATTGTTGCTGTTGTAATTGGAATTTACATGTATTTGTATCTTGTTCTTTTTTGTTATGAACTCTCTCTGACTGTGCTGTTTTCATGTTTCACCTTCTCTGCCTCTGTCTTAAGCACTATTCAGACAGAATTCATTTTCTAAATGACGTTTGAGTTAGGATTATTAACAGGATGCCCATTTCATGTACTGACGGACCGAATAGAGATTATTTAATCTAATTATAATATATACGATTAAGGAAAACATTTAAGTAAACGCCTGATTCTTTTACTACATTTACATTTATTCATTTAGCAATTGTATTACTGCTTCCACAAAAATATTGAGCACCAAAAACTGATTAAACATTGATAGCAATAAGAACAATTAATAATAATTCAGCACCAATAATAAATGATAATAGGAATAAATCACATATATATATATTTTATATATATGTAAAATGTATATGTAATTTATCATTCGATATTGTCACGATTCGCTGCCGGAAGGAACGCAGGAGATGCGGAGAAGCATTAAACAGTCTTTTAATGATCAGACACAGGAGTAAATCCACAAGGGGAAGGGAGAATGACATGCGAACATAACTTGTAGACCCGACAAATGAGGAATGCACAGACAGGAACTCTTATACATGACATAACAAGGGAATTGGGAGGAACACAAGTGCACAACATTACTTATTAGACACAGGAGGAACTGGGTCACGGAGCACATGGGGAGGGAAAACACACACAAAACAGTCCAAGGGCATGACCGATATTGGGTATATGCCAACTGATATTGGATATTTAATTGTGCCTTTACTGTGTATCTTGGTTGTCATCTTGTGCTCAGTTAAAAAAACTGTAATAATTTATTAACAGTGTTACATTTAATCTTCATGAAACCTAAAATAAAAATACATTTTTGTACACACATCGTAGTAATTAAATGAATTATTTGTTTTATTCAGTAATCATCAGCTTATCTGTCTCGCTTACCAGTATAACACTCAAGTGTTATTCTACCCAGATCGAATGCAAAATGGTTCAAATCCATAATGAAGATGCATTAGGTAGCACAAGAAATTCTGCTGTAATTATGGTGTTTGACGTAGGTCAAAATATATGAGAAGATGCGTTGTGAAAAAAATAATATACTGCAATCACACGCTTTCCGATCCGGATGGGATTAGATGTCTCAGAGGTAATTTGCACCGCAATTTCTACCTGAGTTGTGCGAAGAAAACCTCTATTCGAACGGGATTAAAATCATGAAGTACAACGGTGAAGCCCCAATTTTCCAAACTTCCTCAGGGAAAACCAGTTCTGTCTGAATATGGCTTTATATGCACATACATCCTACATGCACCTGTAATTAAATGTTCATGGATAAATCTGTTATTTCTGTGTGTGTTTGGTTGTGTGTGCATGTATGTGTTTGCAGTGGATTGTGTGGACCCGTTGTGCTCAGGTCGTGGTGTGTGTGTGCGCGGTGAGTGTGTGTGTTCCGCAGGCTGGGGAGGTGAGAGCTGTGAGACGGCACTTCCTGCCTGTAAAGAACAATGCTCAGGTCATGGAATGTACCAAGCCCAGACAGGGGGGTGTGTGTGTGAACAGGGATGGAGTGGTGACGACTGCTCCGTGGGTGAGTAACAGTCAAAACGCACAGACATGTGCAGGCTTTTTCCTTTCATCGTATCATTTGTAATTCTAGTCTTGAAAGTGCTTTTTCATCCTTTGGTCATGCATCTCTCACTCAGAAGTCTCTGATTTTAGTTTGATTCAGTTACCATTGACCCCAAAACTCCAAATCCAGTTCTGCTCCTGTCTGACAGAGTAAAGCAGGGCCCTATGTGCAGTAGTATGGATCAGCTTTTAATTGTAATGTGATATGTATTGCAAAAGAGGAATGTACTTTCTTTAATAGAGAGAAAGCGGATTCGTTCTTATTGTCTGATTGATTGTGCATCTTGTAAATGAAGCCTGCTGGACTGTAGAATTTCCTTGTGTTTTACAGATGGAGGGAGAGGATTGCAGTTAAATGCATGATATATACTGGGCACTTTCCATGAGTACGGTACACTTTGGTATCCGATTACTATTTTAAAAGCTTTAGAGGCCTAAATGTCATATTTTTTCATGCAAGAACTAACATGGAGAGTAGCTGTGCGCTTCAGATTTACTAGAAACATTTTGGCCCGTCACACCTTCAAGGTCTTGGCTTTTGCAACAGTATCCTACAATTAAAATCACAAAATGTAATCATTAATTCAGCATAAACCTTTTTTAGTTATTAGTTTTTTTAATGTGTTTCCCATCCCTTTCTACAGCGGGACAGGAGGACAACTAAATAATCTCACTTGACTTTCTCAGTAAATGCCATGCTGACTGCATTCATCAAGCTCAACCATTTAACCCTGTTACTGTAAGTTATTGTAAGAAAAATGTTACAAATTTATGGATCCTAAAAGTTTAATAATAACCACAAGCTACCATTTGATCCTAAACTAGCTAGCACCAACTGAGTGATAACATAATTTTGGGTAAATCTGCAACCTTGGATGTTTATTTAAAGTTGGATGTTTATTTAATGTTTATTGCTATAAAATTTAACAAACTGTATTAAACATGTCCCAAATTTTACAAGGTTACAAGGTTGCAAAAATTGTAGACCTCATATAAAATGAAGAGAAAATAAAACAACTTTTGTGATATTTAGTCTGACCACTCCTGAGGTTGACAATCGATATATTCTGAAGGTTAAACGGCTCCTTTCACTGTACAATTTGTTGAAAATGGAACTTCTTGTTGTGTGAGCGTTTCAGGGCCTATTTTGTACCCTGTTCATGGAACGTGCCACCAGTTTCATCATTTCCTGGTTAACAATGATGATACTTAAATAAGAACACTTTTTTTTTATTGCAAAGAGATTGCTCATCTGGAAGATCGACAGGATTTTGTAACTCATTGCCTTTTGGCCACTGGCTAGAATATGAAAGCATTTATTAAATATTAGATTATCAAACTGCAATATTTATCAAAATGCATGAATATTACAGCATCAAACTGGCCGTTTCCATGGCAGAGCAGTTAAATTGATAATGTGTATATTAATAAACATTCCGGTTTAATGCCCTTCCTGTCATTTCCGGACATTTATATCTCACGTGTGATTGAGAGGAAGAACTCTCGTCCGATGTGCTGCAAGGATAATTTGTTTTGAACGGTACGAGACATAGAGGGCGATAGGAGTGAGAAAGACAGAGGAGAGGCTGTCCAAACTCAATGCTCAGTACTGCAGTTACAGAGGAGAAATGTGGCAGCTGATTTTAAGTGACTTTTAAGATATGAAAATCTGTCATCTCAGTTTGACCCATCAGGAATCCTGTAAGTAAGCATGAAGACAAAGCCATTCTGTCTGAGGGCCAGAAAGCAGAGATGTCTTACTCGTTCAGGGAAATTGTTTTTGTCATGAAACCGTGCTAAACTGTCTTGAATGCAGAACCACAGTAACAATCGGACAATTTAGGCTGATGTGATAAAGCAGGCCGTAGATGGAGAGGAGAGAATGTGTGTGAATTTCTCCTCTTTTTACACTTTTTCCTCACAATTGTACTCAGGTGTACTCAGTCAAAAAAAGTGTTGAACAAAATGATAAAGACTGAAGTCATAAGTCATCTAGGAAAAATCTGATGTAATCTACACAGAGTGGGTCACCCATTTATGGGCACTTATATACGGCAAAGAATAACAAGTTTACTGTATATATAGTACCCCAGTGTGCTCAGATTGTTTGCAATGCGCCAGACAGTCCAAATAGAATGAGGGGAAAAGTCCAAATAAGCAGTCCCTACTGGAGCGATGAAACAAACCGTGATGACTGGCAGCAGCCATGCCACAGATTGAGGAAAAAACGCTGGGACGTCAAGTGCAGAGTGTGAACACATGACCACACCACTAAATTCCTCCGTTCAAGATATAACCACAGCAGGATGTGAGCTCTCAACGGTCATGGTGCAGTGCAGCAGCCAGCTGTGAACCAGCATGATCCACCAACAACACACAGAAAATCACTGGATTTATTTCAAGAATGTCCATATACTGTATATTTAGTACGAAATGGAGGAAAACAGACAAAAAGAAAGACAACAAAAGATCAACAGCTTTCATGTGAAGTGGCAAGATTTAATGAACATGCAGTACTTTGTGCATGCAATAGGTGTCAGTATAAAATCCAAAGACCACTGTGATGAAGCAGCAGCAACATAAACAAAAACTGACCAAGTGTAGATTGTAATTAATGGTAATGATAACAAATGTCTTTTTCTCTCTGTCGCTTTCTTTTATTTCAGAGGTTTGCCCCGTTCCCTGCAGCACCCATAGTGTGTGTGTTGCTGGGCGTTGCCAATGTGAGGAGGGGTGGGAGGGGACCACTTGTGACAAACAGGCGTGCCAACAAATCTGTGAAGAACATGGAGATTGCAGGGATGGACAGTGTGTCTGTCAGCCTGGTTGGGAGGGAGAGCACTGCACTATTGGTATGTCCGAATGACACTAACTGTATTATGCTATTATATGACAATATTGGACAATATTATATATACTATTATACAACTCAAAAATTTGGAGTCAGTAAGATTTTTTTATTTTATTTTGAAAGAAATTACTAATTAAGACATTTACAGTATAATGCTACAAAAGATTTAGATTTTAGATAAATGCTGTACTTTTGGACTTCGTATTCATCAAAGAATCGTCAAAAAATGCATGAAGGTCTACACAAAAATATTAAGCAGCACAGCTGTTTTCAACATTGATGATAGAAAGAAATGTCTCTTGAGCACCAAATTTAAAATTAAAATGGTTTCTGAAGGACCAATGTGATACTGAAGACTGGAATAACGGCTGCTGAAAACTTAGCTTTGACATCACAGGAATAAGTATATATATAGTAATAAATATATATATATATTGTATGGGTTGTATGTGGAATCGTTGGCACCAGTTGCTTTGCACTGTGTGAATAGTTTTAACGTGTAAAATTGTTTGTTTCTCACAATACTTTTTTGTGTTGTTCTTCATATGAATAGGCCTTAACACCTTTTTTTTAAAGTAACATCTCATTTCAGTCTTGAAATTTACCCGACATTTTTCCAACCCTTTGACGGGGGTGTCACATGTGATTAACACATTAGCATAAAAAACAATCTTCATTCTCACTGGCAATCTTTTGAAATCATGCTCTAGACACTTTGTAAATATCATATCTTGATGATTATTTGCCTTTTCAACCATTTTTAGCAGTAATTTGACAAGCATTGTGCATTTTTTATCAGCTGACGCTGAACTAACATGGAGCCGTGTTTTTTTTTTGCCTGGTAGCTGATGTATAAACTAAACAGTCTCTCTCTTTCTGCCCGTCTCTATCTCTTCCTCTTTTTCCTTCTGTTTTCCTCCTCCGAGCCAAAGCGTGTTCCTTTAATTGTGGCGCTCATGATGAAAACAGTCTGTGAAACTCAGGGGACAAATATATGCTTAAGGCAGCAAACGACAGGGACACTTAAAAAAAAAACACCAATGCACATACACACTTAAGTAAGTCTCCAATGTAATTTCTCCTTTTTGTTCTCTCTGTCTTTCATTTTATAACTCTTTCAGCAGCACATTACCTGGATCTGTTTGATAAAGGTAAGTGTATGTGTGATAGAGTGAATGAAAGAATGAATAGATTACTTTTTTGTGATGTCTTTTATCGGAACAATTTTACTCAAGGCCTGAAGAAAGAATGCTGTGATTATGGATGTGCTGTCTCTCTCCCTTAGATGCATGTCCGGGGTTGTGTAACGGTAATGGACGCTGTACGCTGGAGCAGAGTGGTTGGCATTGTGTGTGCCAGTCAGGATGGAGCGGGCCAGGCTGTAATGTCGTCATGGAAACAGAGTGCAATGACAGTAAAGATAATGACAACGGTAAAGAACCCTATAGAAGATGATCTGTGTGGATGATAGTTATAGCAGGGATGAATTTAGCTTTAGGTTAACAGACACATACTGACAAAGGTATTGTTCTAAGCATGACTAGCTTCACTAACATTCAAAAGTTTAAGGTCAGTAAGGTCAGTTTTTTTTTTAAAGGGCTCATATGATGTTGCTAAAAAGAACATTATTTTGTGTATTTGGTGTAATTAAATGTGTTTATGCAGTTTAAGGTTAAAAAAACACATTATTTTCCACATACTGTACATTATTGTTTCTCCTCTATGCCTTCGGCTTTCACAACGGAACACACAGCGGCAGCAGCAACAATACTACAGCGAGAATAAAAGTCATGCCTTCTTTCTTTGCGTGAACATTTGGGCGGCGTTATGCAAATCTTCCCACATCGTGACGTAGACATGTGGGGGCGTGTTAGAACGAGCCGTTTTAGGTAGGCGTGGTTGACTCTTTAACTTTTATAAAGAATATCTCTTTGGATTTGAGACTTTAATCTTTGCAACTTTACAGATCTTCTTTATGCACCAAGAGCTTGTAACACTCCAAAGAGAAAGGATATGACCCCTTTAAAGAAATTTATAATTTTATTCAGCAGTGATGCATTCAGTTGATCAAAAGTGTCAATAAAGACATCTATTTTGTTGGACACAAATATTAAGCATCAAGCATTTTCAACATTGATAATAAGAAATGTTTCTTGAGCATCAAATCAGACTATTAGAATAATTTCTGAAGGATCATGTTACACTAAAGACTGGAGTAATGGCTTCTGAAAATTAAAAGTTGCCATCACAGGAATAAAATCCATTTTAAAATATATTAAAATAGAAAACATATTTTGAATTGGGATAATAATTCATAATATTGCTGTTTTACTATTTTTTTTATGTGAGTTCAGTTAGCTATATTTTTGGTGCAAAACTGTCCACATGAGTTGTCTAAATCTTACAAAAACTCCCTTTGGTGACATGCTCAATTGAAAAATATATATTCAAAATAAAAAAACAACTGCTAAGAAGAATTGTAAAAATGCAGAAAAAAAAAAAAAGATTTCTTTTAAAGGTAGTGTTAAGGTGAGTCTGTAGTGATTATTTAAAAAAACACAATAGAAGTCTAAAATACCCATGTTCTCTTTAAAGTGTGTAAGTAAACATGTGTGAGTGTGTGTGAGAGAGGTTTCTGGGTTATTCTCTCTGAGACTTTCTCCTGTGGGAGGTTAAAAACACAGATCCCCTTTAATGGAGCTGACAAATGAGATCACGCGCACACAGACACATGCGGAGCAAGGGCAAGCTGCATCAAGGCTACATGTCTCTGCATGTAAAGTGTGTGTGTGTGTATTTTAGATGGTCTCATGGACTGTGTCGACCCAGACTGTTGTAGTCAGCAGGTGTGTGTGAGCGCCCCGCTGTGCCAAGGCTCGCCTGACCCACGTGACATCATCCAGCAGAGCCACGCCCCTTTCGAGCCACGCCCTTCATGTCAGTTCTTCGACCGTGTGCGATTCCTCATTGGTCGGGAAACAACACACATACTTCCAGGAGACCTGCCATTTGACAGCAGGTGATAAACACACACCTGCAAATATTAGCGCATGCTCATGCTCAGACAACACACATGCATACATAATCTTATTACAGGGAAATCAGCATTTGATCATGATCTTTCCCAGATACTCAAAGATTTGTTAGCATGATTGTGACCGTATTTACATGCACATCATTTCCTATTAAAACCGTGACACTTGTTTTATTATTTTTATTTTTTTGTATAATTGTTGTGTGATCGCACTGAAATTTTGGGTAGAAGTAAAGGCAGATTGTGCAGCATCTTTTTTTAGTTGAGACTTTGGTCACGATTGACAGCATTGACTGGCCGTTTAAGCCACCAGTCTGCATCTATTCTGACATCCTCATTCACTTGCGAAATTGAAATGATACTGCACAAACCCAAGCATGCCCTTGCGTGCTACTGTTGCCAATGTTTTGGCTGGAAAAGGGGAAAAAAACAAGGTCAAAGTGTCTGGAGTTATAGATCATGGACTGCACATTTTTCAAAGTAATTTTGATAGTACAATCATAATGCTAATTTATCAAGGTAATTCTGATTTCTGAGATATTTATATTGCTTATCAAATTTGTATATATATATAGAGAGAGAGAGAGAGAGAGATAAAATGGATAAAACTTTTCAGTTGCTGGGCCCAATTGACTTGCATAGTGTTTTTTTCCATACTATGGAAGTCAATGGGGACCAGCAACTGAAGGTGAACTATCCCTTTAACAAATACCTTACTAACCATCAATAAGCAGCAAATTATGAGATTATTGAGGCAAAAGTCATAGTTAATAGTTAGTTAATAGTGAGCATTGGTCCCCAAACTAAAGTGTGACTTATGGGGGTTGGGGGCACAGTGATTAATTAAGAAAATTAAAAATGGCATTTTGTGACAAAATGGTTGCTGACCCCTGGACTACAGTTTTGTCCAAAACTTGAAGGACTAAGACAGTACATGTGTTTAAAACAACCAAACAGTCTGAAGTTACATTAAATGCAATAATGAACAATGAAAATGAAAAAGGAAGTGTTATGATATGGTGATGTTGGGTCCATAAATATGTCCATACACAGATGAATGCGTTCAAGTGTTTCATTAGTGCGTGTGAACTGTTCCTCAGGCTCTGATATGCTGATACAATAACAGCAAGTTGCTCTGAGCAGCTTGACTCACCCCAAAAATAATCTTCCAAAATGATTTTTGCCGTCATCATCTAGTTTGAGGAAGTTTAGAATCGATTGAAGCATGTATTGTATTTTTCTCTGATTACTGAAAAGAGAGTGCTCCTCTCTCAGTTTCGATCTCTCCTGATGGATCCTTTGGATTCTCTTGCAATGACTCTCTCTCTCTCTCTTTCTCTGTGCAGTCGAGTGTGTGTAATTCGAGGTCAGGTTTTGGCCTCTGATGGAACTCCTCTCGTTGGTGTGAACATCACGTTTCAGCATAACCCTGAATATGGATACACGCTCAGCCGACAGGATGGCAGGTAACACACACTCTTATACACTGTGTAAAGAAAGACATGTAATAGAACATGCACTAACACACACTGTAGATGCTGTGTTAACCTCTCCTGTATATTTCCTATTTATGACGTGTACTATATATGTTCTGCTTGTTGTATAGGCCCTGTATATATACTCTATTCTTTCTGTACATTCAGAGGGAGGCAAAAGTCTCACACTGCTAGCTGAATTTAAAAAAAGTATTTGACATGAACTTCTTAGTATTAATATTTCCTTGTTTTTAAATATTTTAAAATAAAAAGTTTATTTTCATATTTATATTGAATTATAAATCCCAGATATTTAAAGTGGACACACACACACGCACACACACACACACACACACACACACACACACAAATACACGTTCAAAAGTTAGTGCCAGTAAGATTTTTTTTAAAGAAAATGAATACTTGCTTTATAAGGATGCATTAGATTGATCAGAAGTGACAGTAAAGACATTTACAATGTTACAGAAATTTGTTTTAAATAAATGCTGTTCTATTTACATTAATTTATTAAGACTCCTGAAAAAAAAAATCATGGTTTCCACAAAATTATTCAACAGTATAACAGTTTTCAACATGGATAATAATAAGAAATGTTACTTGAGCACCAAATCAGCATATTGGAAAGAGTTTTGAAGGATTGTGTGACACATAAGAGTGGAGTAATGGCTGCTGAAAATTCAGCTTTGACATCTGAAAATATATTGAAATAGAAAAGAGCTATATCAAATTGTAATAATATTTTACAACATTACAATTTTTACTGTATTTTTGATCACATGAATGCAGCATTGATGAACATAGGAGACTTCTTTTAATGTCATTAACAAATTTTAACAACCCCAAACTTTAAAAATAAAAGCTATATATTTATAGCATACAGTATACGTCCTGTATACATACACACACTTTCTTGTATATTAACTGGATGGAAAAACGGTAAACCTTTGTTTCTAAGTGTGTTTGTATTTTTGTTTTTCCTACTAGCTTTGATCTTCTGGCAGTGGGCGGAATCTCTGTGACTCTATTGTTCCAGCGAGCCCCGTTTTTGTCCCAGATTCGGTCTGTCTGGCTTCCCTGGAACCAGTTCATGGTCCTGGACCGTGTTTTTATGGAAAGAGCTGAGTCCAAACCACCTATCTGTGACTTGAAAAACCTAATCAGTCCACACGCCATTGTTCTCTCCGCCCCCCTCCCGCGATTCGCCGCTGACTGTGAGGACAGAGGAACTGTCCTACCTGAATTACAGGTGCAAGACACATTCACTCTGAGAAAACACTGGATGCAATATCTTAGCCACATGCTATGAGACTGTACCACTTGTATACTTCAACTCTATTTATGTGACACATGAAACTGCTCGCTTGCCGTCTTAGACCTGTAATAGCTGATATAAACTGCGAGCTGGTGCTAGAAAAAGAAGAATGTTCCTATTATAATCAACAAGGCATAAACACAGTGTAAAAATAAATTTTCTGCAGTGTAGACATTTTTTTAAATTATAAAGTGAGCATTCGCAAGAGCCCAAATCTCAGTTGCATGATACTGTGTAAACTTGACACCTTTGTTGATTATAATATAATGAGAACGTTCTAATATTGATGCGTTGCTCACTTTGAGTGTATAATTTACTCAACGTTTGAAGAAAACAGACTCTCTGAAGTTGACTGATGAATAAAACAGCAAGTAATTCAGGAACACAGTTCTCAGCTAAAATTAGATGTGTAGCCCACAGACACAATATAACTTTCAGTCGCCCACACAAAAACAAGTATTTTTATTTCTGGTATTAACAATGTAATTGCAATATCAAGGGAAATCAAGGGATTTTTTTGGTCATTTTCACACAGTCCTGCTTATGTAGAGCGTTTCAAATCAGTCCCTCATGAGAATTCATTTCAGTTAAGATGCTGTCTTGGAGGGCAGTAGCCTATGTAGGCAGTAGACAGCGAGACAGCTCACTCAGTTTTGGAACAAAGCTTGTGTGTGTCTGTAGGTTGTTAGAACTGCAACCTGTGTTTATGGGACATTTCTTTGGCAGCATTACGGTCATTGGCTCGGGTTTTGTTCTGTATGGAAAGTGCATGCAGTAAATAGAAATACAATTAATTTCTCTCACTCTAACCGTGCCTCTGCCAAATTCATCTTTGTTCTTTGCGTCTGCACGTCTGCTTCTGTCTCTTTCTCTCTGTAGGCGGTCCAAGAGGAGGTGGTTATCCCTGCTACTATTCTGAAGTTAAGCTACCTCTCTTCCAGAGCTCCAGGCTATCGGTCTCTCCTGAGGGTGGTTCTGACCCATTCCACCCTCCCGTCAGGCTTGGCCAAAGTCCATCTGTCTGTGGCCGTCCAGGGTCGGCAGCTTCTGAAATCATTTCCTGCAGCTCCAAACCTCATTTATGTTTTCTCCTGGAATAAAACCGACATCTATGGACAGCAGGTCACGGGGCTAGTGCAGGCACACGGTGAGGGTCTCTATGCACGTGTGTGAAAGCTAACTTTTGTTTTTTGTTTTGAAGATAAGCCTTCATTCAGTTTTACATTATGATTCAAAAGATCCATTTTTAATTGAATACTTTTATTCAGCAAGGATGCATTAACTCGATGAAAAGTGACAGTAAAGACATATTGTTAATGTTTCAAAAGATTTCTATTTCAAATAAATGCTGTTCTTTTGAACTTTCTATTCATCAAAGAATCCTGAAAAAAGTCTCACATTTTACACAAAAATACTGAGCCGCACAACTGTTTTCAACATTGATAATAATAATTAAATACCAAATCAGCATATTAGAATGATTTCTGAAGGATCATGTGAAACTGAAGACCAGAGTAATGGCTGCTGACAAATCATTACAAGAATAAATTACATTTTGAAATATATTAAAATAGAAAACAGTTATTTTTAAATTGTAATAATATTTCACAATCTTTCTGTTTTACTGTATTTTAGATCAAATAAATGCAGCCTTGGTGAGCATAAGAGAATTCTTTCGAAAATATTTAAACTCTTACTGACCCTAAACTTTTGAATGGTATTAAAACCATTACACATGAAATAAAATGTCAAAATAAAGTTATGTGAATAATTACGATTAAGTACAGCAACTGGATTGAAGGTACTTAATAAGATGCAAGAGGCACAGCTGTATAGTTTCTTTCATAATCGACCTGCATATGAACAACTGTATTTAGGACTCCAAACAGGACTGACAAATACAGAGTTCTGGCATGAAACTCTAGATGGCGCAGTCCGATAGGTCTAACCTAATCTGACCTAATGAAATCATTATCCCATGGCACAGCTGATTGCTTCTCTCCTGTATTGGTAGCCAATGAGCTCGCTGCTCAACATTCAAATATATGACTAGTGCTTCCCGTAGCAGTTGCAGCTTGCTTCAGAAACCCTCCACCTTCCCCAGCTCCACCTGTCTCGATCTGCTACGAGGTGATTCATGTACGCTATATGGGGGTTATTTCATGTATGTTATATTTGCAGCAGCAATATTTCTTACATGCTCACAACAGCATGTTGTGGATGTATTGGCAGTAGCAAGTCTCGGTACTTGCTCTGCAGCAGCAGCGTAGCAGATCTATTCCGCCAAGACCAAATACATTAACATTGTCATGTACATTATCATGCCAATCCCTCAGAGGGCTGTATTCTACCTCACAATACCCCTTTTCTGTCATTTCTCATAAGCTGAGATTGACAGGTAGCTAAAATTAATGATTGACAGCAAGAAAATAACCTACAAAGCTCACACTTATGTCCTGGGTATATCAATGATGTGACTGACAACTGTTTGTCAAGTGTGGTTCCATTCAAACAGCACAAATCAATCGAACTCGCTTCTAAAATTTAGTTGTGACCCCTGGAAAATGTAAGGAGCTAACTTGAATGCGGTTGTCACTGTTTTTTGTAACAAAATTTTGTATGAACAACCATATTTAGTGCTCCAAACAGGACTGACAACTTTATCCTTCTGTTGTATGATCGCAGCCCCACTTTCTCGTTATCTCCCTTTTCATTATTTCGAGATCCATCACAATGACAGCAATCAGACACTGCTGAGAGTCTGAATCCATCATCTTTTGCTCATTGAAAAGAGCATTCTGTTTTACGGCACACTTACGTACTTACTGAATAATGCCTAAAAATTAGTAATCACTGGCTATTATGGAGGAAATTAACTCCTGTTTTCAAGTAATAATTAGAAAAAATTAAGCAAAAGCATTTCACGGTTCTAATAAACAAATGTGTGAAATATGTGCGAACAGCTGATTTTTTTTCACAAATAATAATTATTTATTCACAAATTACAGGATGCTAATATAGTGCTTGTAACAGTTTGACAGTAACATATTATTAAAAGGTAGAAAGACAATAAATACAAATCCTCATGACTCAGGATCTTTGCCTTGCAAATAGGCAAATATAATTATTGGTTAATAATTATTATTAATCCTCCTAACACAACTGTAAATGAAGCAAATATAATTTATCCCCATATACTGTAGCAAACTGCTGCTCACTTAACTCCGAGGATGGATTCAGCTCTTTAAACATTTTCCTATGACGTGACACATTTATAGAGTAAGGTATTTGTAGATGTTGTTCAGTTAGGTAAATACATTTTTAAATGATAAATAGTATCAATATTTTATATATTAGCTCATATTAGTCTAATTAATCTTGTAAAATGACAGTAATTATTGATTATACTGGGTGATTTATGCATTAAAATTATGCAGTTTCACTTTAAAATGAAGAATTACCAATGAAAGTGTGTGTGAGTAGGTAACTTTGTTTATTCTGATGATGGTGATGGTTTGTCTCTTTTGGATTTTGATGATGATGTTGATGATGATGATCATGATGATATTTAATGGGCTAAGTCTGGCATTTACATTTGTGTGTGTGTATGTGTGTGAATTAATGACAGTCTCTGTTGGATACGAGTATGAATCCTGTCTGGACGTTGTGCTCTGGGAGAAGAGAGTTGCTCAGCTGCAGGGCTTTGAGCTGATGCCATCAAATCTGGGCGGATGGACACTGAACCAACACCACGTCCTCAACATGGAGAGTGGTAAAGGATTATCACACACACACACACACACACACACACACACACTCATGCACATGGGTGTTTTCTTCAACTATGGGCACTTTTGGCTCTGTGTACTTTTAGAAATTAAAACACTTTCAGATCATTTGTTTATTTACTTTGCATTCTAAAATGTCCAACAGATACACTGCATTACTGGAGAATTCTGTCATATTTTCAATCATAAATTAAGTGGGAATTAAGAACATTTTATTTTAAGCATTTTTGGAATAAAATGACAGGCTATGTTTCCTTGTACCCTAAATACACACAATTAATTAATGTTTTTACAGTTTTAGCGTAACAAAATTACAGCTTAGTTAGAGATGATACATAAATTCTGTTCACAATGATATTTACCTTGATTTTTCACATCTCATATTTCATCTCGAGCATGCTCTTCACCAACACAATTGTCTCATTTGTAACTAAATACACTAACATTCGATAAAATGGCATTAGTGCAAGATTGTTGGCCGTGGTGGAAATGACAACACAGCTGTTGGATAGTAATAATTTGTGTAAAAAGTCATTTTCACACAGTTAATATTTAATTCACTTTATTTTACATTATCATAGTTTTATATAATCTTTGAAGAATTGTTTTATGATGCATTTTCATGTTTTAAAGGAGTAGTTCACTTCCAGAATGAAAATTCTGTCATAATTTACTCACCCTCCACTTGTTCCAAACTTGTATGAGTTTCTTTCTTCTGTTGAACAAAAGAGAAGATATTTTGAAAAATGTTCAGTATCCGAACAGTTGATAAGCACCACTGGCTTCCATAGTAGGAAAAAAAATATATAGAAGTCAATGGTGCCCATCAACTGTTTGGATTCCAACATTTTTCAAAATATCTTCTTTTGTGTTCATCAGAAGAAAGAAACTCATACAGGTTTGGAACAAGTGGAGGGTGAGTAAATGATGACAGAATTTTCATTCTGGAAGTGAACTACTCCTTTAAGATTGAGAGCTAAAAGAATCTATTCATAATACCAAAATAGTAAAATGCTTCCAACACTGTTTTAAAATGAAAAGTTGATCCCTTGGACCTTCATGTGTTCATGGAAAAAATGAGCTTAACCCATGACCTTGAGATAGCAACATAGCAGTGCTTACCAAAAAAGATACCCAACATAGAGCACATTTAAATCTAACATCCTCCCGGTCAATAAATCTTTTGGCTCCTGAGAGCTCCCTAGATGGCAGTTTGTATCATTCTTTTCTTTAGTTTGTTTCTATGGGGTCTTTTAGCATCATCACATTTCATCATTGATATATAAAGGCTTCAATCTAATATTCTGTTTATTTTCTCTTCTGCAGGTATCCTTCATAAAGGTAATGGAGAGAATGTCTTTATTTCCCAGCAGCCTCTTGTCATCTCCACAGTGATGGGGACAGGGGCGGTTCGCGCGATCCCATGTCCAAACTGCAACGGGCCAGCCGTGGAGCAGAAGCTGTTTGCCCCCATCGCTCTGGCCTGCGGTTCGGATGGAAGTGTGTATGTAGGTGATTTTAACTACATCCGTAGGATTCTGCCCAACGGATTCGCCATCAGCATCTTGGAGCTCAGGTCTGCTGTCTTCCATCAGCAAATTATCAGTCAGTTCTGAACCCGGTTGATTTTTAATTATTATATATTTCTTTAAGAAGTAACTGTTGTATGTAATTTTAGTTTATTTATTTATAAGAAATTTAAATTTGTAAGGTTTTGTTTAAATATTTTTTTAATCTTGTTTATTAATAAAAAGATAAAAAGGTTGATTCATATACCCATTTGAAATATTTAAATAAATCAAACCAAATGGTGACATAGTGACATTTAAATTAAACCGTTTTATTAAAAATAAAAACTATTTCATTATTAGATTATGTAAAAATTACTTGAGGTAAAAAAAAATTCATATCCGCTGTTTATAGCTTATAAACCTTTTCATAATAGTGAACATCATCTGAGGAATTTGTTTTTAATTGTTGACTTACATTTTTTTCCATGTAATGCATCCAGAAATCGTGATATTAGACACAGGTATGTTTCTTTTCAGAACCAATATCACCATGTAGTCTTTCACTGCACCTGTGCTTGAATTCATTATTTTTATTTTGAATCTCCATTCATCCATGCATCAACCTAGGAGTAGCTAGAAGTTAAGCGACTCGAGTCTCAAATGCAAAACAACAAATTTAGAGGCAGCAGCCCCTATAGTAAGTCAGCAGAATCAAATCAAAAACTGGATCTTTTCTCATAAAAAAGCTTTAAAATAAAGTTAACATATTTTGTCTTTTTTTTTCTCATCAAACTCACAATACAGTAATGCTCTAAACATAAATATTCCTATGTATAATAACATTAATGCTAAAAATACTAGTAACCCCAAAACTTCAGTCAATAAATACCATTAATCCTAAGCTTTAATGACTAAAGCCTTTTCCTTCAAACCTACAAATAAAGCTGCAATTTTATTCCTTCGTTGACTTGATTGTCCCCTCTTTTAACGCATGGCTTGTTTTGTTTATTATTCTTATTTTTTTATTATCCGTTTAATTTATTTATAGTTTTCCTTTAATTACTACTGAGCATACCACCTTTTATTATCTTCTAATAGAGGCCATCTTTTTTCATTTAATTTCAATGCTTGGTATTTCAATGTGTATATGTTTGTAATTATGTGTCCATCTGTGTATATTATTGTATTTTTGTGTGTGCACCCACATATGTGTGTATTTGTGTATCTGTGGACATGTTTTTGAAGCCACACAGTGGCTACTGTTGCTTGTAATCTTCAGTGTGTGGTCAGGAATCCATCTGAGGCGTTTTTCTGGTCGATGGATTGAACACTAACAACTTTTCTCAGCAATCCGCTGGCAGCGTCACATCGCAGTCTCCCGTTTATCGTCTAGATCTTCCTCGTTTCATGTGAATTTAGAACCGGCGCCCCCCACAGAGAGGGAGTTAGAGTGTGGGATAGACCTCTGCCCCACAGACTAACACTGACAAGTGCACTGTAATCCTTTATCTTTGCGTGTGTGTTTGCACACAGTATTACATCCCACAGCAAGGGGGAAATCCTACCTTCAGCCTTCTTTTAGAGATAACGCTTCTGATCAAACCAACGTCTGATTCAACATCGCAAAGACTCAGAAGGACCTTATAGTATTAACATTTCAATTTCATCAATCTGTCAGTAAACACAGACAACTTGACGGGCAGCTTTTGCCCTTTATTAGAAACAAAAAAACAGCTTTGAGAGAAATCTCTTTTACCATTCAGTACTATTGTGAATTTGGTTAATGGTTTGTGGAGTAACTACTTACATTTGTGCAAGATTTTTATCAAAAGTAACTAACAGTGCATTAAAAGTGTACTTTATATCAGTGAGCTTTCCCAGATAATTGAACCCATGACCTTTGTGCTGCTAACAGCTGAGCTACAGAAACTTATCACCTTTATTAAAACAAAAACAGCTTTGAAAGATCTGTTAATGAGTTTTAACATTTCACTATTGATGTAAATTTGGTTAATGGATTTGTGAAGTAACTATTTACATTTGTGAGACACTTTTTCAAAAACAAATAACAGCAGTGTACATTTTGTCAGTCTAAGCATTTTAGGAGCTGAACCCATGACCTTGGTGTTGTTAGCAGTTGAGCTACAGAAACTGTTCCCCTTTATTATTACAAAAACAGCTTTGAGAGAAATATTAATGTCTTTACCATTTCAGTATTGATTTAAATTTGGTTAATGGCTTTGTGAGCAATTAATGCAAACAATTTACATTTGTGAGTCTATTTAATTGAAAGCAACTTACGGTAGAGTAAGTGTACACTTTATCAGGTGTTGCTAGTGGTTGAGCAACATGAACTACTCCCCTTTACCCTGACCTCACAGCCCCTACACAATTCTAAGCACTCTGCTATCCTTAAACCCAAAAGAGTGAATCAACTTCCCTTAAATGTTAGAGCAGCAGAATGCCTCAATCTTCAAGCACCAAACTTACCACAACTCAGACGCCACAGGTGATGTGTCAGAGGACGTGTTTTGCTTTGACAAAGAGAACACAACCTGAAAAATGTTTTCTTCCTTTCATTCTGCCTAAGGAACAGTTGAGAAAGAGGCAGCAGGTAGATTTTCTCTTAGGGCAGAAGCGGATGGAAGGAAAGGAAAAGAAGATTATAGACTGGCAGGGGTCCGACGCGCTGGTGGGGCTAGGAGTTTTGATTGGGGCTTGGGTTCAGAATGATTGAAATTTCTGCATGGCGCTGAGACCTGGAAGGGTCTTTTACTCTATCCTTGTGTGTGCACAAGTCTGTGTGTGGTTGTTTTCTGGTATAGATTCAGACTTTATGAAATAGTTTTAGCATAAGCATGTTGCCAATATGTGTGTAGCCCTCCTTCGTCATTAAGCCTTGTTAAAATTCTCTTTCTCCAGCTCTAGTCCGGCTCATAAGTACTACTTGTCTATGGATCCTGTGCGCGAGTCGCTCTATCTGTCAGATACTAGCAGCGGGAAGCTGTACCGCCTGAAGACTCTGACTGAACCGAAAGATCTCAGCAGGAACGTGGAGGTGGTGGCTGGCAGCGGGGAGCAGTGCACACCCTTCCATCCGAACCAGTGCGGCGATGGAGGCAAGGCCACTGAAGCGGCACTCAGTAACCCCAGGGGTGAGAATCCAGTGCACACACATGCTGCTTTTCCGAAGTCAAAGAGAAAGAGTGAGTGAGTGAGGTGGAGTGGTTATTGAAGGTGGGAAGAGAAAAATAGCGGCAAGTTTCAGCGAGAGAAATGGGAAAACTAGAAAAAGTAAGATAAATGAAAGATGCCTTCCCTCTTTGCTAAATCAGGCGGAGCGGCTATTAGTCCCGCCTATCCATCACTGCCACTGTCTCTTTAAACCCGTCAATCAGGCTGATGGACAGACGGGGGCGTGGCTTATGGGCACATATGTTCTCTTATCCTTCAAGCCTCATTGTGCACTCTCTCTCTCACACAGAAACTCACTCACTCAACTGTCGCAGTTAAAAGCCTCCACTTACTTGTAAACTCCTGAGGATAGAATTCATAAAGAATCCCAGAGCAGGAATGTTATATGTGTGTGTGTGTGTGTGTGTGTGTGTGCGGTTGCTTTGATTTCGGACTGTTCTGCATAGGGCTGTGTTTCAGATCAAACTGTAAATCACATTTAAAATGGATTTAAGCCTTTTTAAACTCACTTCAATGATTCATATGCATTTTTTTCTGGCAAACTGATGGATAAAAGCCTTCCGTTGTGCATGTCGGGGTGGAATGCCTGAAATCTCCCTATGTTGAAGTGTTTTTACTGAAGTCTATTATCTTTAACAGGCTCTGACCGAAATGCTGAGAGCTTCAGTAACTGCAATCCAACCTTCTATGTTCTCAGGCCATGAAGGGGTCCACACAAATAGACTGCAACCAAAGTATTAAAGGGGTCATATGATGCTATTTCAATTTTTCCTTTCTCTTTGGAGTGTTACATGCTCTTGGTGCATAAAGAAGATCTGTAAAGTTGCAAAGACTAAAGTCTCAAATCCAAAAAGATATTCTTTATAAAAGTTAAGAGTCAGCCACGCCTACCTAAAACGGCTCGTTCTAACACGCCCCACATGTCTACCTCACTATGTGGGAAGATTTGCATAACACCGCCCAAATGTGCACGCAAAGAAAGAAGGCGTAACTTTTATTCTCTTTATAGACTTTGCTACTGACTATTCAAATGCGAGTTTTGAGCAGTGTAGAGTAGCGCTTGTTCTTTGTCATTTCTCCGATCACAAATTCAGACATGGTTTTATGTTTACGCGGCACGATGCAACGCAGTGCGTAAAAAGACAGTATAAGTCATTATAATCCATAATTATGTCCCCACTGGATGCAACGAATGTCTCGTTTATAATGGGTTTTCATGTTTTTGAAGCATCGCTCCGGCCTGACAGTATGGTTACCTGCTGATGATTACAGTACATCACAGTATGGTAGGGGCGTAGCATTTCCGTCACACGCTTGAGGTATTAAGCCAATCATAACGCACAGGATAGCTGGCCAATCACAGCACACCTTGCTTTTCAGACCGATGAGCTTTGTAAAAATCAACGCGTTTCAGAAAGGCGGGGCATAGAGGAGAAACAATAATGTACAGTATGTGGAAAATAATGTGTTTTTTTAACCTTAAACCGCATAAACACATTTCATTACACCAAATACACAAAATAATGTTCTTTTTAGCAACATCATATGACCCCTTTAACATTTCGGCATGATGATTTTTTTCTGTTAAATTCTGCTAAACTGACCCATAACGCTGATACTATGTGTCACTTACATACGAGCTTTGACAGTTCTGTATGTTGGTGTGTGGCTTGACTTTGGCTCACTGTTGATTCAATTAATCTCAATATACAGAATGTTTTTATAATCAATATCTCTTTATACACATAGAAACTCAGAGTGATGCAGTATTGATCTCTGCACCACGGCAGCATCTTCCGTGACTGTGATCTCTTTAGTGCGGTAAAAACAGATAGTCTTCGCTAGCTTCAACAACCAAAGGCCCAGAGCTTCACGCAGAGAGCCATTAAACAAGCCAAAATAAAATCAAAATTGAGATCTTTTAAAATACCCTGTTTGTTTTGAAAGGAGATTTTATTTTCAAGAGATTTGATGGCACATTACAGGCATTTTTGGATTGTAAAATACTGATTTTACCACCTGCTGTATTTGTTGCTCAAAGATCAAGTAGAGGTCTGGGCTCCCTCTTAAGGTCCCAAGACTTTTCCAGTTTTTCATGATTAATGGATAAGGAATTAAGGATAAGATTATTATTATTATTTTTTTTTTTTACTGAATTTCAACCTAAAAAATATAAATAAAATATTTTAAAGTTTGATGACATTAGAAAAATGTAAATTCATGCACATAAGTTTATGTAAGAGTTATAAGATTGTAATATTTTACATGACTTTTTTTTTTAATTAGGCTACCTCAGAGGTGTAAAGAGTGCCTAAAAACCATACTTGAGTAAAAGTACAGATACCTTACAGTGAAAATTACTCCACTACACGTTACAAGTCACCAATTCCAAAACAACTTGAGTAAATACTCAAGTACAGTAACTAATTACATTTACTCTAATACTTTACACCTCTGGACTACCTCATATACCCAGGTTTTCCAAGATCGTGGGAATCCTGGTTCTTCAAAGATAAACAAAAACAGTTGTCGAGGTTGTTAATTAAAATCAGTAATATCTTAATTTTATTGATTTTGGCTTATTTCGATGTTTGTTTTGTCCTATTTTAAGCCGGTTTAAGACATCTTGAGACATGTAAAACCATTATAATGTTCTTTTTTTTTTTTTTACTTTCTGGTTTTTACAAAAAATATTAAGCAGTACAAATGTTTGTTTGTTTTTACCACTGATAATAAAAAATTTGCTTAAGCACCAAAACAAAAAAAAATTTGTTTTTTAAAATAGAAACTTTTATCATAATATATTTATATTTATATTAGTAGTCAGGTGGTTAAAACATTTTAGGAAAAACATTGTAATCCCTTAAGTATGCTACTCCATTAAGTGTCCTGATGGATCAACCGCTGAGCAACTCCTCTGAGATTCTGCTGTACAGTATGTGTCCACACTGTATGTTTGTGTCAGCGTGTACTGTGTATATGTGCTGTACAATCTCAGAATGTGGATGAGTGTGTGGTACAGATGCAGCACTATGTGATTCACTGAAATCTTGGATTCACGGCGGAGAGAGATAGGAGGAGAAAAGGGCACATTAATTCACAAGTCCCTGTAGGATAGGGTGCTCACTGTCTGGTCTGATGCCAGCTGAGAGTTTAAGAGAAATAGAGGGAGACGAGGAGCAAACAGACAGACATGCTCCATTCAGTCTGAGTCCAAGAGGGTTCAGAGAAGAGAAGAGCTCCTGCAGTCTAAATTAATGTGGTCTGCTTTTGAATTTTATATATGTGTGACGATTAGCTTCTCCTCTGATCATTTTCAATCTAACCAGCATTTTCCATTTTAGAAGATAAGAAAGAAAAGGAGGTTCTGGACCTGGAGGTCTCTCTGTGCCTTCAGGACCCTTTGAAGGGCAGAGGGAGGTATCCCCCTCCGAAGGCAGAATAAATAATTAAGCTTGTTATGCTCGTTAAGTGGGTAATATGCCTCGTAATTAGCACCCATAACAAGATGCATTTGTAAACAGGCTTATTGAGGCAAACAGAATTTCAGTAACAAGGGTAGTATGTATGTGTGTGTGTCTTCACATGTATTTCTGTCTGGTTTACAGCACAACATGATCTGTATTGTTTGTTGCACACAAGTCTGAATGGATGTTCAGCATTTAATGCCGAGTTCACACTGCACGATTTTCAAACTCGTCGGATCGCCGTTGTTTTCACACTGTGTGACTATTTGGGGTAGCATTTAAAATCGTGCAGTGTGAACTCGGCATAAAGGGCTGTATGCCTGTCACCGTATCATTCAGTTTGGACTTTGTTTCCCTTTTGCACGGTTTCTGTTCTTTGAGTTAATTGTGTTATACCGTTCGGGTGTGTGTCATCAATTAGTCTAATCTATGCTTGTGTATTTACAGTAAGTTGCTCTCTTTCGGTTCATTGTTGTCGGGTCTTGTCGATGTTACGTGTGTTGCAAGCCTTCCCTTTTTTGGATTCACTTTGTCCCCACCATGGACAATCTGTCCGTTTTCCTATTATGCCTTTATGCTAGGGAACTCGCTCCCTCGAGGAACATGTGGAGGATTTCCTGTTTCCGGCCCATCTCACCCACTACCCAGACGACTGCTTATGCTCATTTCTACACGCTGGCCTGAAAATCGCCACCAAGGAGCAATTGTCCGGGGAGGGACCTCAAGGGAGCTTCGCTGACTACGTGAAGTGGGTGCTGGTATCCTGTGGATCATCTCTGACCGTCGGACCATCTGACGATGACAGAAGCCCCACTCCTAGCCCAGTGCCCAGCCAGAAACCCTCCCGCTGCGAGGAGTGACAGCAGGAGCCCACCACAGACCAAGAGCCCCCCTCCACCACGATGTTTGTGCCAAGAGGAGCGATCGAGCAGGACATCACCCCGGAACCTGAGCTAGCCGCGTCTGACCAGGTGTCTGAGCCGGCTGCCCCATCTATCACCGTGGGAGCTCTCGTGGAGTACGAGGGAATGGAAGTGTGTGCCACCCATCCTCCTGCCACTAAGAGTGAGTGTTTACTGGACTTGGACACTGTTTTTCAGTTTGGAGAGTTAGAGACTTTGCTTCCCTTAAGCCTGCCTAATTCTGTTCATCTGTCTGATTCGCTGGTCCCGCTCAGCCTCCCTCTTCCACCTCATCTCCAAGCTGGTTTAAGAGACTTCTTCATTCTTCTCAGTCCTCAGCCACTCCTGCTGTCCAGTCTTCTTCGTCCCTCGTCAGTCCCTCTATGTCACCACCTCTCAGTGGTGGGGCTCCATCTCGGGCCTGCCGGGAGTCTTCGTCTTCTGGACCTCTCCACCTCGTCCCGCCGTCCAGACTCCTACGCTCCTCCAACCCTCGATTCCGGAGTGGACCATCGGCCATTCGGCCTTGCCGGGCTCCCTCAGTCAGTCGGCTCCCCTTCGGCTACATCCTGCTCCGCCATCCCTCGGCTCTCTGTCTGCGCCGTGGGCTCCACCTCCATTGCCATTTTCGCCTCTAGTCGTCCCCATGGCGGTTTGTGTTCCCATCACGCCTTGGCTCCTCCCTTCAGTGTGGAGCGCAGTCCTGGCTGTGACCTGGGTCTCCACCTACCCTCTCTTGCTTAAGGCTCCTCCCTGGTCATCTCCTCCACCTGCACCTCCCTGGATTTTGTTTGTTGTCCTCCTCCCGATTGTCCGTCCTCCTCATGCATCTCTTTGCCGGCGTGTCTGCCCTTTGCCATCCCTTCACAATCCCTTCGCCATCTCCTCATCTTACTCGCCGTCTCATCCTTCTCTCTATGGCGCGAGGTCACGCCTTCCGGGAGGGGGGCGATCTGTCACCGTATCACTCAGTTTGGACTTTGTTTTCCTTTTGCACCATTTCCATTAATTGTTATTCCATTCAGGTGTGTGTCATTAATTAGTCTAGTCTGCTTGTGTATTTAAGTTGCTGTCTTTCTGTTCATTGTTTTCGGGGCTCGTTGATGTTATGTGTGTTGCAATCCTTACCTCTGTTTTGATTTACCTTATGTGGATTTATTAAAGACTGCCTATCTTCATCATCGTGTTTGTGTGTGTTTGTCAACACAGTAGTGTGACAACGCCACTCAACAAGACTGAATAGTAAATTAAAAAGTACTGTAAGCTGTGCACCATTTCAGGATTGTCAACAAAAATAAGGGAGACTGGGTCTATTCTAGGGAATATTTCTCAGAATTGATTTACTTTTCAAAGTCAGTCAAGTTATAATTATGAAATATATGACAAAAATTGTTTGTTTTTTATGAATTTTTTTTTTTTTACAGTATATGATAGCACTTGTGACAACTGGCCGGGTCTCCCCAATATAGGTTTACATCACATAATCAATCTCTTTTGAAAGCTTGCCGAATGTATATGGAAATTATTCATGAAAACAGAAATGATTATCATTGTGGAAGTTTGCTGTGGATTTGAAATTGGTAAAACAATGCACAATTATTGCATTGATTTTTGGTAGTTTTTGAGGTGAACATACGATTCATACGTTGCTTGCTCCAAAATATAAGTCAAAATATTGTTTAAATATGATTGTGTCAGCCCGACTACATTAGTTTAAGTCATTTTAAGGGTCATGACAGGTAGAAATAAGCTCCCCAAGGGAGCAACTGCACATATTCAGTTTTTACAGTGTGGGTTGGGAAAGAAACAGCCAATGCAACTAGTGAAGTACTGCTCTGTGTCAGCTATTATAGGCAGTTTATCCATATGGAGAAGGTGCTGTTACCACTATCCATACTGACAAGTGTGAGCTGTCATTTACTGGTGCTGTGTTGAGATGCACTCTGCGGGCAGATTTTCTTGCCATATACTGTCTCCGAAAATATGTGGTTCCTGTTAGTATTATCTAAATTGTGAATCCAAATAAACCATTTAAATCATCTGTAACTGCGTGCATGTGTATGTGTATATGGGTATATGTGTGACTCGATCTCTCCCAGAGTAAATCAGCATGGTGAGAACAGACCAATATGTCTGCTTATCTCTGTGATTCTCATTAGAGGGAGAGAGCAAGAATAAAGAGAGCAAATTAGTGAAGGGAAAGGAAAACCGCAAACACACACACATACACACACACACACACACAGTGCTATTTGCCATTACAAACTCTGATGTGTGTGTGTGTGAGTGCGAGAGAGAGAGATGATTACATAAGCCTGTTCCCACTTCAGAGTGAAATCCCTCTGGAGGACAAAAATATCAGTAAGCGACATACCGCAAAAAAAAAAAGCACCTCTGTGCTTATTTGTGTGGAGGTGTTCCAAATAGTATACACTACTACCTTACTACTCTTATACTGTGGGCAGTATGTATACTGTGCACAATATGCACATTTTCTGTATGCATAGAATACCTGGGATTTCTTAAATTAGCAGTATACAACCTGAGGACACTGTACAGAATACTGTATCCCACAGTGCAATGCACTCAACTTGACCTTCAGTTTCCAGTGTGCCCAAATTAGCCAGAAGTAATATCAGCTTGTTTATTGACTCATTATTTGATCCGACTGCCAAATGTTAAGACGCAAAGTTGGATTGCAATTGATAAATAATCTTTTTATTTTTATTTTAAATGCCTGCGTTTTAACATGCCATAAAGTTTAGTGTGAAATACTGTCTAGCTTATTCTAAATAAAAATTAGGTGGTCGTATATGGTGCACACTGAACAGTATTAAGTAATAAGTTACTATTCCATTCAGAGCGTAGTTTGCTCCTTACAAACCGTATGCTTTGAAAGATCTGTGGAACAGACGTCTTTAAAGAAACAATAACAATAAAAAAACAATGAAGTCTTTGACAGCAATGAGGGTGGCGATTATTTCCTGATGTTAGTGGCCTGGAGGTGTATTTGTGCTAAAGATCAGTTTTAATTAAACTGTAACAATGTATGTTTGTGCACCGCTCGATTTAAATGTAAAACCAAGTTGCCTTGCACAGCTCAAGGTGATTTGCAAGCATTCGAATAGAACAAGACAAATGAAAAAGAGAAATTGGATGAACAATGAAAAGAAATACCGGATTTTTTGCATATCTGATGTCATTTCGCATAAATCTGCATATATAAGTTAATTTGCATATATTTAAGATGCCGTGAACAGAATGATCACACACAGAGGAATATACTGCCTGATACAGTGAAACTCATCTTTCTTCATTGCACCGTTCCTCATCATCTGTAGTTAAGCTGCGACTGCATCGGCAATGCAAATGTAAAGTTATTTGTTCCGCCAATAAAGCGCATTAAAACTGAAAGAGATGGAGAGAAATGACTGTGTGTGTATCCTGTTGTCCTGCAGGTATCGCAGTGGACAAGCATGGGTTCATTTACTTTGTTGACGGATCAATGATCCGTAAGATTGATGACAAAGGGGTGATAACAACCATCATTGGGTCAAACGGACTCACGTCCTCCCAGCCAATCAGCTGCGACTCTCGAATGGACATCAGCCAGGTGAACAAAACACACACACACACACAGAGAAATTTACATATGGTGGCTCCAAAAAGAATTTAGAATAAACCAAATAAAACGTATGAATGTCATTGCGTTAGAAACAAAATATCAAGCCAAGTGGCTTCTGCAAACAAGTAATACTCGACCTTTTCTCAGAACTAACTACTTTTAATCTGCTGGTCCCAAGGTGATTTTGTAGTAGATGTATGAAGCAAAATAGCAGATTTCAAATATGTACTGTACTTCTCCAAGGAGAAAAATAAATATTTTCATGTTGACTATACATTTTTAGAAATGGGCATCAATGCAGATTTCCTGATTTACTTTTGATTCACAAGCTATCGACTAGATTTTAATACATTTGGGTATATTTTGCCATTAGAATCTTTTTTTGTGTGTGATTAGGCTACAATATCAGGATTGTTCAAATTAAGTTTGAGATTCATTGGAAAATCTATATTTTTACCCAGCCCTGTACATTTTATACACTCAAATTTACACATCATTTGTGTGCGCATTACATATTTCTAAGATATGGCCAACCTCTGTCAGTTTAATAACCACTTAACTTCTTAAAGGCAGTCACACACTCTTTTAACGTTGTGTTTGCATGCAGACATCAGAAAAATTATCTGTATGGTCAGTATGTCTTCTCAAATGCTCACATAAATGAAGTGAATAACAGTACACAGAAACCGAAGAGCTGAAAGATGAAAGAAACCCTTCATACACACCCCACACAGCGAGAGTCTTGACCAACCCTCTCTCTCTCTCCTTCTCACTCTCTTTCTTTCAACCTGTTCCTTCAGCTCCACAGGATTCACACACACACAGTTTTCTCTGTTCACCTCAAGAGTGAGAAAGTGCTGATACCGAAGGTCTCTCTGGTGCTACAGAGTTACATTATACAGCTTGCAGCAACATCCTTACTTTTCTTTTATCTCTCCCCCTCTCTCTTTGTCTCTTCCTCCTTTGAGGTTTCTGCCTTTTCTGTTCTATCCATTTCGAACACTAAAATCGTAAAGCTTTTCTCAAACATAAGGCAATTCCACGTCTTTCTCTTAAAAGTGCTCTTAAAAATCTATTTTACTCTCTCATTCTGTCTCTTTCTCCCCCTGAAGTTTAACTCAGTGTGTCCTCATTAAATCTGCAGGACCGCTCTCCCTTCAAAGTCAGACACAATTCTTCCCACTTCTGAATAGCATAAATTTTTGGCAGACTGTCCCTTGATTTCTCTTTCATTCTCTCTCGCTCTCTTTCTCGATCTCTCTCACGCCCATCAACACACACACATGCTGCACTTCTTCACAGTTCATTCGGTGGGGTGTGTTGTGTGTGAATAAGAATCAGACAGTGAGGAGAGAGAGAGAGAGAGAGGGAGGGAGAGAGAGAAGGGGAAATGAGGTGCCGCAGGCCACTGGGTAAAAGAAGCACTAAAATCTGCATAATTCCCACTATGCCTGGGATATGACACACTTCACACTCAATACTGTCCGGCTGTCGGGCAGCTGCGGACACACACACAGAACCAAGATGTGTGTTTAGTTTTTTTTACCTGGCTGCACATTAGGGCTGGGTGCTATGACTAAAATATTATCACGGAAATGGTATACAGTATGTCACAATGTAGTTATTTTTATAGGAAATTTAACAGGAAAATGGTTAATATCATGGGTGTAGAAAGCCAAGGGGGTATTTTTTCTCCAGACTCGAATAGTGCTACTGCTCCCTGTCCCTGCGTTATATGATTAGACTGCATTCTACATGGTTATTTTAATGACAGTAGACCATAGACTTACTGAGAGTGACAGATTTTTTTTTTTACATTGTTTTAAGCAAAAAGAAATTTATTCATAGTTCACTTTTTCTAAATTTTCGCTCACGTGACCATACTTTTTTATATATATAAGAATTGTAAAATATTGTTTTTGAATAACATTGTCTGAATAATATATTTTATTTTTCTTTCGGTAGAAGGTCTTTGCTTTGGCTTTATCTCAATTAAGTACCCAGTGTCCTCAAATTCGAGTTACTCTGGTATATATTAACTAACCATGTGTTAATTCTTTTTTTAATAATCCGACTTTACAAATGAAAGGTACTGCATCTCATTGGATTATTTGCTCTTTGTATTTTCATTTTGGTTGGTGCACATCACAAAATATACCCTGTGCGTGTGTGTGTGTATTATATATGTAATATTATATATAATGTTTTGTATAATGTATAATATAATTTATAATAATATATGTATGCATATATAATATTTGTATTGTATAATTTTTGTATTATATTTTGGTGTATATTCATAACAAATATGTTTGGCATGAGTGCAAAAGCAGCTTTAGATTATGTATCTTTAGAGTTCAAAACAAAAGACTCAAAGCAGCAAAACTAATGTTGTTAAATGGATCAGTGGATGCAGGGGTGCATCTTTTGGCTCTCATAGTGTAGCATACTTCATTTTTTGTTGGTAAAAGAGGTTCCTCTCGGTTTAATCTCTTCTCTGTATATATAATGTAAAACCCGTTCACTGATGTTACATGTAAATATAATAATATAATAATTATTTAATAATTATATAAGGTATAATAATAGTCAAAATGATGACAAAATAGTCTCTGTCCTTCATGTCAGCTGGAGAGAGTACATATGAATAGGCCATGAGCAGATGAGAGTGGCTGTGAAATCTGTCATGAATAAAATCACACTTTTCACATTCATAGCAGTTAATAATATACATTTGTGTATCCACAGGTGCGTTTAGAGTGGCCCACAGACCTGGCAGTGAGTCCGCTGGATAATTCTCTCTACGTTCTCGATAATAACCTTGTGCTCCAGGTGAGCGAGTCCCAGCAGGTGCGTGTGGTTGCTGGACGACCCATCCATTGCCCCTTGGCCAGTATTGAACCGGTCCTTCTGGGGAAAACAGCGGTGCGTTCTGTGCTGGAGGGAGCGAAAGCTATCGCTGTCAGCCACCAGGGGTCTCTATACATTGCAGAAACTGACGACCGGAAGCACAGCCGTGTCCAAGAGGTGTCCACAAATGGAGAAATGGTCATAATCGCGGGGGCAACCAGTGAATGTGATTGTAAGATTGACCCCAACTGCGAGTGTTTCTCAGGTGAGATAAACATACACCAAAGTGCTATACGCAGTGATTTTCCTTTGGCCCTCAGAGAGGGTTATTCATATTAATGATGTGTTATTTTTCCACGTTAAACCTTTTTTAGTAAGCCACCATAGGCGGAAATCCCGGGGCGGTCGGGGGGGACAGGACCCCCCTATCTGAGGGTTGTCCCCCCTAAAAATATGATTAAAAACCAGTCTGTATATTGTAAATAACAATGTTTTATACTTTAAATAATTGTGTAAGTAGTAAAACAACACAAATGGGGCAAAAATGCATTTTAAATTTAGAAACATTTTGAGTCTCCCCTCCCTTGCCTCACAGTGCTTTGGGCCAAATGCCTGCTTTCCTCTTTTACATCACCTACACACACACACAAGTCCGGTGAGAGAGAACAAAGTCAATAGTTGTGGAACTCCAAGGCTGTCAAGGCTATTTTATTCATTTAAACATCGGATGAAGTGATTATTTTCTCTTTAATACAGATGATGCCAGTGTATTTTTCGATGAGTCGCTATGTTAGCAATAATAAGGTTACCTGCTTGACAAAAAGGGTTGCCAGGTTTTTTACAACAAAACCCTCCCAACTGCTACCCAAAACTAGCCCAAACTAACCGCGTTTCGAGGGGATCCCCCGCTAAAAATCGCATTCCGGGGAATAAAAAAAAAACCCGTTATTGGGGTCACTTCCACCCGTGGACATGAAAAACAACCTGCGGCAACAGTGATAAAGTAGCCCAATTCCATGGGAAAACCGCGGACTTGGCAACACTTGTGACAGATAGTAATGTCAACGGACACGACCTCTGTCTCGGCGCGACCACAACAGCTTGACGTTGTCTAATTTGGCACGGTCTCCCTGCTGCACTAATAGTAGTAAGGCTTTCCTCTGCGTATACATATCCTTACAAGTACAATTTTAGCTGTATTATTTGTGTCCCCTTCAAAAATCGCTCTTGTGAAATTTTATGTTTATTGTCCCCCCCAACTGTTAGACGAAATGTACGCCCCTGTAAGCCACTGGTTATAAAATTATGAATTTTGAATGCATATTTTGTCTTGGGTGAGTTTTGAAAAAGTGCAACACTTAAAGGTAGCACAATTTCACCACTGTTATAATAAAGTATACAAATTGGTTTTCTTGAGCAACCTTCCCAGCAAGCTAGGACTCAAGGAGGCTGAAATTCAGATATGTTAATTTCAGAGCAATCCTCTGACGCACGCTAAAATTTCATAATCTCGGAAGAATTACTTCCAAATGCATACAAGCCTACAGTGCAGTTGCATTGACTTCTGTAAAAGCCTTTCCAGTAATCTAGAGCTGAAACTTGAGTGTGTTCATCTGAGAGCGTCATCTTACACTCGCTAATGTTTTATTCGCTTACGCTGAAAATCATTAGGAATAGTTTATCCATGATTTACTCAATTGTCTCTCTCTCTGTATATTTTTTGTATATTATTTAGTACTTATCATATTGTTTGGACTTTGTTTGCACCGTTTTCTCTGTCTAGTTAGTTGTCATGGTTTCTGATTTGAGTTCTTTATTATGTTCAGGTGTGTCTTGTAATTATCCTAGTTTGGTTTGTGTATTTCAGTTCCTGTCTGTTCAGTTTGAGTTTGTCGGGTATTGTCAGTGTTATGTGTGTCTCCTGCCTTCTCTTGCTTGGATTTACTATATGTGGATTGCTTATCGTCATCTTCGTCTTCGTGTGTGTTCATCGACACGCTTACGTGACAGATATAAAGAGGAATGACAGAATGTTTAGTGTATGTGTACTGCACCATGAGTCCAAGACATATTTCCCTTTTGAGAAAATATACACTACCGTTCAGAATTTTAAGGTCTTTTTTTTTTGAAGGAAAGTGTTATTTTTATTTGTCAAGTAAACATTAGGAAGCACTGATCAAAAGTGATAAAGACATTTGTAATGATAATAACCAATGATGTTTTTCATGAGTCTTTGAGCAGTGTATCACACTCAATTTGAATTTGAAAGGGATCATATGACAGTGAAGACTGGATAAATGACTGTCCTGTTACGACCAAGCCATCACAGGAATAAATGGCATTTTAAAATATATTTTAAAATAATTTTTTTTAATTGTTATAATATTTCACAATACTGTTTTTACATTACTGTTTTTTATCAATTAAATGGAAGAGCTTAACAGTCAAAAACATTTATAAAAAAAAATTATTGACTAGATATTACAGCTTATTACAGGTCTACTGCTTTTTGGGGCAAATAACTTTTTTGCTGCATCTGATCCAAACTAGTCAGCAGTGAGTCAGTGGGCAGCTATGCTGTGTGACTTTAGCATGCTGAGAGATTCAATTTGTAAATATCTCCCTGCCAAACGTCTTGCTATGACACATTCAAGAGTCTGTGCTGCTGTTATACACAGGTTTAATTATTGAAAAATCTTTATTATTTAACTACTGTAGACCAGTGTTGCGATTTTACTGCAGTGGGTCTCTGAGGGTTAATCGTTAAACCTAACACTGAATGCCTAATGAACTAGACTTCCTTTTTTTCCACTTCTCTTTCTCATTCTCTCCATGAATTCGTCCCTAGGTGACGGAGGTTATGCTCGTGACGCCAAGCTGAAGTCTCCCTCTTCTCTGGCAGTTTCTCCTAATGGCTCCCTCTACATCGCTGACCTCGGGAACGTGCGGATACGCCGGCTCACGGCTAACCATCCTCAGCTTACTCCCGAGGGACTGTACGAGCTAACCTCGGTTGCAGACCAAGAGCTTTATCTATTCAGTCCAAATGGTACTCACCTGTTCACCTGCAGCCTGGTGACGGGGGACTACCTGCTTAACTTCACATACACCCCCGAGGGCCACCTGAGCAGCATAGCAAACAGGGAGGGCACGATAGCGCAGTTGCGGCGGGATGCTAATGGCGTGCCCCTGTGGCTTGTAGCCCCGGGCGGCCAGGTTTACTGGCTAACCATCAGCAACGCTGGAATGCTGAAGCGCATCTCGGCTCTCGCACACGACCTCTCACAGCTCAGTTACTACGGCAACACAGGGCTGCTCGCAACCATCAGCAATGAGAACGGCTGGACTACTGTCTACGAGTAAGTGATGCCTTTCTTTTACTCTCCCTTTGTCTATTTCTTGCTCATCGGGGAAGTGCAATGCATTGCTTGATTTTTAGGTGCGCATGATAGCGCGATCTGTCTTCGTTTTCGTGTGTCATATCCTGTTGTTGCTTCCTTTAGAGTCTATTTCGGCTGCCACGCAGCCTCACTTGCACACTCTGATAGTCTAAAGCTGTTTTATTAGCAGGAAGAGTAGCAAGTTTCTGCTGTACTGTATATAAAACAAAATTCCGTCCCAGCATAGATTAATCTTTACCTGCGTCTAATCTAATCATGCTTCATCAGAATTTATCAGAAGGAAAATAATCTAATACAGTCTGATCGACAGTGTTACCTGAGATTGTTTGAAAGAGTGCAGTAGTTCGATTTCTCAAGCTGTGTGTTTTTCTGCTGCAATGAAAATCACTCAGCCTTAATCTATCCAATAAAGAAATTAACTCTGTATCCTCTTCTGATTTCACTATGAAAGAGCCCGGGTACCTGTGTGTGTGTGTGTGTGTGTGTGTAAACTGTTTGCATGGCCATTTTCCGGGATTTGTGAGACTGAGCTACAAGTTCTAATTTAGTGTGAAAATGTCAGGGGCTTCTTTTCCTCTCTCTCTTTCTCTCCTTTTTGTTTGATCAACTCGGTGACCTTTCACACACTGTGTTTACACACACACACACACACACACACACACACACACACACGCACACACACGCACAGATGCACCTTCTCATGCAGCTTATAGTGTAGCGTTGAGGCAGATCACATGCCTGGCTCCCTTTGTTTGGTCTGTTGTGAGACACTGCCCCCTGCTGGTGCATGCTAGTTAACTAGTCAAACATTACACTGATGTTTTGTGGTTCAAGGGAGAAGCACAAAAATCATAGTTTTGTTTAATTCATGTCCTGTAAAGCCTAATAATAGACAAAAGCACAACTGTAAACAGTAGTAGCAGAAAGCATTATTTTTGGGGATGGTAACACTTTATACAATAACATTAGTTAATTCATTAGATATCAAGAGTTAAAAATAAACGATATTTTTTAACAGCATTTATTAATCCAGGTTATTACTCATTTATTTAAGTGTATTATGTTATATTGTGTTATAATGTGTTGGTATGATGTATGTAAAAATTTACATTAACCTAGAAGAATAAATGCAGTAAAAATACTTTCTGTTGTTTGTTTATGTTAATAGTAACTAAATTGCATAAACTAATGATGATGAATAGAATTTTACTAAAACATAATTGCAAATGATAATAACAGAAGGCTGTATTTTTGGGGTGGTAACAATTTACAATTGCTATTCGATAACATTAGTTAGGTATCATGAACTAGCAATAAACAAATAACAACATTTAACAGCATTTATTAATTTAGGTTGTTTTTAATTTATTTAAATATATTAAATATGTATTATTATTTTATTTTGTATAGAGTCTTTAAAATTTGCTTTCTCAAAGCACTTTACAACAAAGACAAAAGAGCAGAATGAAACAAATCACAAAATTGAAACAAATACAATAAAGAATATTATATTATATTACTGAAATGTTCAAATGTATTAGTATATATTGAAATTAACATTAACCTAAATTAATAAAAGGAGTAAAAATACTGTTTTTGTTCATGATACTGTCAACAAAATGTATTAACTAATGCTGCTTAATTGAATTTTATTGTAGAGTGTTAGAATTTTTGTTAAACTATTTGTTTATCATTTACAACTCTGTAAGCCTGTAGCTTATTCAGCAACAGTGGGGAAGCTTATTTAAATTACGTTGCAGCATTCTGTTCTGCACACACCACCGAAGGAATTAGCGGAAATGGTGTGTTGACTTTGATCAGTTCCCTCCATCCAGAAGTAATAAGTACTGAATATTTCAGAAACATACCTCAAAGCAAAATATACACCAACGTAGGAGTTGTAAACTCGTCAACAAGCGCCCCTGGTACAGGGAAATTTCTTAGATCTGATATGAATGCAGTAATGACTTGAGATTTAAAATATATATATATTTTTTATTCTTCAGATCAGATAGGCTGTCTCAAAACCTAGCTGCCTATCTAAACTTTGTATTGAGGAATTTTCATTTTTAAAGGCATTTTACCTTTTGCAGTTGTTCATTTAGCCACTATCCAAAATGAGGAATACAACACAAATGAATCATCAGTTATAGGGATGTAACGATTAACTGCGAGCCGGTTGAAAATCGATTTAAATATGTGACGATTCAAATCGGTTGAGATGCTAAACAAATAGCGATTCAATTAGGGGCAGGGGTTTATATGAATGTATGTCTGAGGGGAACTTACTATCTTTCGATGGTATTTTTTCTTTTCATCTTGCCTCTGTATAATGCATATTAAAGTTCATACGTGCAGCGCTGCTTTGTTTACAGCGGAATCCAAGGAAACGCTTTAAGTGCCACCTGCTGGCAGAGAGTGAATCTGCGTCTCATTCAGCTCGTCTGCTGTTTCTGTTTCATGCAGATATTTTTTATGTATAGTTTCACAAAACTGAAGTCAAACCATTCTGTTTTTGCTTCAAATACAATAGAAGCAATCAAAACCAACAAGAGAGCAATAATTTACAAGTGCTATATTAGTATGTTATTATAGTGTTATATTTCAATTTCACAAAGAAACGTCCAAGCAATAATAAAAGAACACGTTTAATTTATAATTTGTCTTAAATCTCATTTTGTAAAAAAAAAAAAAAATCGTGAATCGAATCAAATTGTGAAATCAAAATCGTTAATCGAATCGAATCGTGAGTTGAGTGAATCGTTACATCCCTAATCAGTTATGGTACCATTAAAAATACTGCAATTCAGAGTTTCAGAATTGCTCAGAAAAATCCAAGCTACAAAAGAGATAAAAGGGAGAGGCAATGAGAGAATAGATTATTATTTATTTATTTATTATTCTTTATGTTTTTTTTAGAAAGAGTGCATTAATAGCATTGAGTCAAATGCTAAATCAAAGCCAGCTTGTGATGTTTCTGGTCTTTTAATGGGCCACATATTGTATCTGACTGATCTGTAAACAGAAAATTGCAGGAATACAATCTCAGTCGTCTTTAGTCAACTAAACATGCAGAGCTATGCTGGGTATGAGGGAAAGATGAATCTCTTAACTAAAAACATATGGTTGTAAAAACACTTTCAACTGGCCCTCCGCCTGGCTGGTGTTCCCCAAGTCTTTTTTAATTTGATACCCCTAATTTAGACATTCTTGAAGGTCCCGAGGAACTGGAGGGAGATCATTCCACAATTGAGGAATAGTGACATTTCGGGAAAGTGATTTTTGTGTCTGATGATTTGATTTGCAAAAGTGAGAGGCTGCTCAATATGCACGCTTTAGTGTCTTGATGCAAGTGTTTGGCAACCAGTGAGGCGAGACGAAGGCGTTCGAATGATCGATTCAGACGTTCAAAAGCACCTATGAAGCCCAAAAATGCATCTAGGTAGGCAGCTCATTAAGTTTTGACACATAGCCATATTAGTTGTGCTTGCTAAGGTAAGCATCACTGTTGCTCCTACTACTCAGAAAACCTTAGCAACAGCATAGCAACTGCTCCACTCATATTTTCTTCAGAAAATGCAGAAATATAGTTTTAGAACAAGATTGCAGTAGAGTTTTAATGAGAATCCAGTAACATAACCCATGTGGATTATGTGCGTGTGCCTGCACAGTCAATCCATTTAGTCCCTTTTCAATTCAGGTTTATTTGTACAGCGCTTTTTGCAATAGACATTGTTCCAAAGCAGCTTTACAGAAAATAGAAAAATAAAGAAGATAAAAGAAAAAGAAAATAGTGGCTTACAACCCCCCAGTGAGCAAGGAAAGGAAGGAAAAAGTCCCTAAGATGTTTAAGTAGATGAGGAAGAATCCAGCATTTCAAGCAGACTCAACATTTAGAGTAGAGAAGAACACGGCGGCTGCAGTGTCTCTTGATCTAAACCGCAGGCTTTTGAAAGCTCAAGAGTTTCATCAAATGAAAAGCTTTTATTCTTTTACATTAGTGTGGGTGGCCAGACACAAGTATATGAAATAAATTGGCATTGACATTGATTGGACATAAATAAATCAGCGGCAGAGAAGATGAAGAAGCTTGAGCTGTTTACTTCTAAAAACTACTCTAGAAATGGAGAAAGAGAAATGAAACATGTCAGAAGTATTTCACCCACTCATTATATCACATGACTTGCCGTCCACAAAGATTCAAATGTCAAGTCATCTGTTCCTCTGTGGTGCATCAGCGGATTTTAACATTCACCTTTATAATGTATCTCACACCCACACATTTTTCTTTCTGTCATTTTGAGGACTTTGCATTGACTTTCATACTGAGCTAATGGTATTTTCTATCTTATAACCTTTTTGTAATTGTCATTAAGACATTTAGTGTATTTAATAAGCTGTTTAAGCCGCTGTGTTTGTGATTTCAGTCTTTACTTTCTTTAAAATGTAGACAAAGTACAAAGTGCTTAACACAGTGTTCATGAGTTCACTAATCCCTGCGTATAATGAAGGTAAACAGATTTGGCTTGCTGTCAAAGACAAGGCTGCAGCTTGAGACTCGAATAAAGCTCTTAAGAACCCCTGGACTACTTAATAATGAAGTTAGTAATGAATGAATAGAGGAAGAGGTGGAGTGCAGGGTTGCTGAGATGCTGGAGAATTGTCACAGCAGTGAGATAATCAACTGTTTATGTACTTTTGCATTATGATTGAGACGATTAGATGAAGTACCTCTCAAAACTTTATTTAGATCTGCATTTGAGATGATCATATCGTGAACATTTAAAATGTCCTTGATTATTTTAAATAAGTGACTTGTAACTTTTAACACTTCAGAAATGCCATCCCAGTCCAAAAAGATCACTCTTTTCTGCATTTTTAAATAGATTTTATAAATATTAACAGTAAAGAACAATAAAGAAAATGTAACTAGAAAAATAAAAACACATAGATATGTCAGAACATTAGTACATTAATTGCACAAGGTTTTTTTTTATTTTTTTGACCTGCACACTATAAGATAACGAGGAAAAAACAGAATAGACATTGAAAAAAAGATACTGATGTTCCAATTTGTGTATAACTAACAATAAAAACATCCTTTACATTGTAACTTCAGGAAAGTGTGACTCAAGTTTATTTTTAACAAGGTCCCTGATCATTTCAGTTCCACCTTCACAGTTCAGCTAATTTCAGTGGATTGTTTTATGATCCTGTCAAAATGTAATTCAGTCTTTGCAAAGAGGCCGTTATTGAAGAATTCAGCAGCATGAACTATATTGGACCCAAAAGCAAACCCAGGCCGCAAGTAAGTGAAGCAAAGCGTTTCTCATTTCACATGCGAAGAGGGCATTTACACAGAGGTCTTAAAGGCACGGCAGCAAAAAACTGCCTGTTTACTGCTGTTGTAAGGGTCAGGAAGAGAATGGAAAATTTACATGAAAAACAAAATTATGACACACGAAACCTTGACTAGCGTTTCAAATGTCGTCTAGGGGAAATAAAATTATTTAAAAAATGCATGATATGACCCCTTTAAACTCTCTTACATGCACATGCATTGACACTCACTCATTTAAACTTTAATACATCTTTCTATCTCTCTCTCACACACACACACACACACACACAAACTAACAGAAGATGTGTTTATGAGCAGATATAACTCTGATGGACACCTCATCAACATGACCTTGCCGACTGGAGAGGTCAGCAGTTTCCATGGAAACATGGAGAAAGCTGTCAGAGTGGAAGCCAGTGCCTCGAACAGAGAAAACTTTATTATAATTACAAACCACTCTGCGGATAACACCATCTACACACTTCGACAAGGTGAGAGAGTGTATGTGTGTGAATCTACCGATTCGTTTTTATGATAGTGTCAAATACAGTGGCCACAAAAAGTATTTGAACTTAGCCACATTTAAAGGGACAACTCACACAAAAATAGAAATTCTGTCATTTCATGTAATAAATGTAGTGCTTTTCAATCTTATATAGCTGTTTCTCTCTGTCCAGCTCACTCTGTTAGTGTGTACGGCGTTAGAGATGACGGCTCTCTGTGGGTGACGTATGCCAGCGGGATGGACGTTGCTCTCAGTACTGAACCAACCGTGTCATCCGGGCTGTTGCCGGGTGCATCGGCAGGCCTCGTCCATCCCACAGTTGGAAGATGCAACATCACGTTGCCGGGGGAACCAGCTCACAGCCTGATAGAGTGGAGACAGAGACGCGAACAGGCCAAAGGGAATTACACAGCATATGAACGGAGACTGAGGGTAATACACAGACACACACGCAAGCATATGAATGCAGACTGAGAACAATAATGTGTTTTCTGGGTAGGGTGACCAGGGTATAGCATGTAATGCGCAGGAGTGCAATTTGATTTTCCATCCAAAATTTCCTAAGATGCTCAAGTGTGTCACACATTGTTTTGTGAGGTGTTTACGGAATGAGATAGTAAAATTAGAAATCTTTGTTAATTTAGGATTGCTCTTAGATGTAAAATGCAGTAATTATTTTGTTCACCTTTGTGCTGAACAGTCGAGGTTTTTAGGTTAAGTTAACACTAGCGCATGATTAGATTCAAGTGAAGCTGTCACAGCAAATGCGGCATTCATCACTGAGGTCAAGTCAGTGAAATCGCTAACTAAAATGGAACCAAATGAGATCCCAACTCCTGTTATTCATCTACTGCCACAGAATTGCCTTTTTTTCTTAATTTATTAAAAAAAAGATAAATAAATTCTGTGGAATTGAACCTGCTTCATTCTAAATGAAGAGTACTAATCTTACCTCTAACACTGCATATTTCTCATAATGGTGCTGCGCTGAGCTTTAATTAACACTATTGTGTTTTAAGCTTTAATTGCATGATTTTTTTTATACCCTACATTAAAGTAAGCTTTATTTATTTGATTGTATATGTACATTTTCTTCCTAAAAGGAGGGGGAAAGCTCTGACAGAATTCAAACACTGCATATTTATTTCGTTGGTGATTTGTTATTGAAATTTAAGCTTGAAAAACAGTTTTGTCTTTTGGTCTTTCCCCATTCAAGTATACATAAGAGTTATCTACTTTCCTGACTACTAATAGATGCCCAGGATCTTACCAAGATGGCCGCAGAGTTAACTGACTTTCCTTAAAGGGACTTTTGGTGTAGTGCAAATGGAAGAAATAGGCTGCATTACACACCTACACTCTTTAATATACACCCTATATACTACAGGCACTGCTCAGCCTTATACCCTGCATTTCACACACTGTTCCAACTTCCCTTTCAAATAAACTCCATAAATCTTTCTCTTCTCTATTTCATTCTTTCCAATATTCACTCTTTCTCTGTTCAGTTTCACTTCTTGGTTGCAGATTCAGTATTAGTGTGCTTTATAGGAAGTACAAATAACAATTACTTATCTCAAGATTTTTTAAATGATTTCGAAGGAAGAGTCTTTTTCTTCACTAAGGCTGCATCAAACATAAAGTAAAAACATATTGTGAAATGTTGTTATGATTTAAAATAACTGTTTTCTTTTTGAATATATTTAAAAATATAATTTATTCCTGTCATGGCGAAGTTGACTTTTCAGCACTCATTCAGTCTTCAGTGTCACATGATCCTTCAGAAATCATTCAAATATGCTGATTTGGTGCAAAAGAAACATTTCTTATTATCATTTTTTGTGGAAACCATAAAACATTTGTTCAGGATCCTTTGATGAATAGAACATTTAGAAAAAAGCATTAATTTCAAATAAATTATTTATATTATATAATTCCTACTTTCCTAAGATGGTATATTGTTTTAAATTAGAGTGAAAAGGTTACAGTGGCTGTAGCAGTTATTGAGGTTGCTAGCACTAATAATAACAAATTAGAAAAACAATCTAAAGGTAGGTTTATGTGAGAGAAAGACACAATGAGACAATGCCAGTTTCTCACTGTCCCTCATATGGTGACAGGCAAAGACAATGTGCTGCCAGTACACAGTGCTCCTTGAACCTGACCTGAGGGTTTATATATATGTATGTGTGTGTGTGTGCGTGCGTGCGTGTGTGTGTGTCACAGTGGACAGTGTTTTATTTCTTTCAAAGTCAGGTGTGGATTATTCCAAGATGGAAGTCCAACTTCAAGAAGTTGGAAGTTCTGACTATACTAGTTTGATGGAAGGCAGCACAAAAAGTCTGCCACAGTGCAGTATTATTAGGGCTAGACAGCATTGCATTTTACTTTCTTTGGGTTTCCAAATGTGATATAACAATGTTTTGCTTGTGTTTGTAATATGGTTTACTCTTATTAGGCTCAGAAAATTACTCTGGTTGCAGGGGGTATGTTAGTACAATTAATTGTAAAGCTCAGGACCAGCTCAGCGAGGGGTCTGTTTTCTTTACTCAACTCTTCTCATTGCAGGGTTTTATAATGATATGGGGATCACCGAATTAATGTTATTGGCCTAATTCCACCCTGCATGTGTTATTTGTGGTGTTCCCATTTACTTTTAAGATATTTTTTACTGAATATTGCATGCAAGGTCTCAGTTGGATGTTTTTCCCATTTGCCTAGTTTCTAATTTGTTAGTGGACGCCACACCTCGCTGCCGCAAAGGGCAGCCGGCTCAATTACTGATTCTAATATATTCAGCCAAATGCTAACAGGCATCTCTACAGGACATTATCTTTTTATGGGAGCAAAATCTTCTTGAAGGTCCAGACTCTGCGGTAGCCCCTTACAGTGGGAGACGGCCGAACCGATTAATCTGCATAGAGCTGGAATTTGATCGCAGAATCACAGAGTGAAATCGGGAGCTTCAAACTGTTCCACACTCGTTGTCAATTCATTGATGTATCTGCTGAATAAAGTTGGCGGCAACAGCAATGTTGTCTCCCTCTGTGCCCCCGAGAAAGAAATTTTCTTCTTTTATTGCCAATTTTATTGCACACATGTTTCTGTGTACTCTGATATAATAAGATCATAATTTTTACCTTCTTTCTCATCCCCTTCTCTCGCTTAGGCTCATAACAGGAATGTGTTGTCTGTAGATTATAGTCAGGAGAGTCGGGTCGGGAAGATATATGATGACCATCGCAAGTTTACCCTGCGGGTTCAGTACGATGACAAGGGCAGGCCTGTGCTCTGGACTCCCAGTAAATACAATCAAGTGCGAGTAACATACTCGAACGAAGGTCTGGTCACCAGCATACAGAGAGGCAACTGGACCGAGCGCAGAGACTACGATAACGGACGCATCATCACACGGACCTGGGCCAATGGGAAGATCTGGAGCTACACTTTTCTGGAGAAGGTGTGTACTGTATGTGTTAAAGGTGCAACTATGCCTGTGTGAATCTAAAAAAAAAAAACGGTCAAGAACATGTCAAGTCGTATTTGACCCCAAAAATGGGATGAAAGAAATAACTTGTTTTATTTAGTTTTTATTTATATATTTTTTAATTTGAAAATGAACATTTTGCAGATGCCTTATGGTTATAAGATTTTGTTTTGTTTTATTTATTTTATTTTATTTTTTCAACATTAATATATTACATTTGAAAATTAAGCCTTTTTTTGGGGGCTTTTTATTTATTTATTTATTTTTTTAATTCTAAAATTATTTTTTTATGACAAGTGCCCTAATGATCAGAAAGAGCTTTATTGCCAAGTTTGTTTACACACACAAGGAATTTGTCTTGGTGTCAGGAGCTTCCAATACAGAAAGTACAAACATAGTGCAGACATACATATAATTTAAGGTAATACAAACACTAATAATGAAGAGAATAGACGATAAATTGTAAATAACAATAACAATATAGTAATAAAATATAGAAAAAAAGAAAATGTCAAGAGACAGAATTGTGAATGTGCATATGTGCTCTTTACAGATGAACGTTTTGATGAGTTATTTACAGATGTACAGTCCTGAGGTGTGTTATCATTACCATAGTGGAAAAGATCTCATTCTCTTTACTATAATGGAAAAATATATCAATATTAAATTGAACCATTTAAATTGTATTTATAATAAAGAATTAAAAAATGATTTATAATTAATTTTATTGGGTTTAATTTTCACTTTTTTTTTTTCATGCACAGAAAAAAATGGGAATCACAGAATAAAATGCCTGGATGCTTTATGGTCATGAGAATTTAGTTTTTTAAGCAAAAATAAATTAGATTTTGTTGGATTCTTCTTTTTTTATGTTTATTGTATTATTTTGATTTTGGGGTTTAATGTGACATGTTTTCATGAGTTCACGGTTCTTGTTCTTCTCACAGTCTGTCCAGCTGTTGTTACACAGTCAGCGCCGCTATACATTTGAGTACGATCAGACAGACTGTCTGCTGTCAGTCACCCTCCCCAGCATGGTGAGACACAGCCTGCAGACCTCTCTATCTGTGGGCTACTACAGAAACACCTACACCCCACCCGACTCACCCACTTCCAGCTTCACGCAGGACTACGCCCACGATGGGCGCCTGCTCCAGAGCCTGTACCTGGGCACAGGCAGGCATGTGATCTACAAATACAGCCGAGTGGCCCGGCTGGCTGAGATCCTCTATGACTCAACACTTGTTACTTTCACCTACGACGAGGCAACAGGTGCTGTGAAAACCATCCACCTGATGCATGAAGGATTCATTTGCACCATCCGCTACAGACAGACAGGTACAACACTTTGACAATGTTATCTGACAGTCACTTTGACAGCAGGGTGGGCGGTGTGACCAGAATCTTGAATCACAGTGCGAGAAATTTTATATTATGGTATATATCAGAGTTGGAAACCGAGAACTGCTTTTTATTCTGATTTTCTGACAAATTATTTTTAACCGTCTCTTTTGTTACCAAACAAATGACTCCTTTGAGTCGACAATTTTAGTGAATTAATAACATACAGAACAATCAATGTAGTTTGATTCCCAAACAAATTACTTTAATGAGTTGATTCTGTTTTAGTGAATCAAACTGGCTGAGTGTTTAGTTTTAATTAAAATGATGTTATTATATAGTTAATGGAATTACATTTTTACTCAAAATATAAGTTAAACAGTTAAAACTGTAATCATTGAATTCTTTACAATTCCCATTCTTAATCATGCTATAATTATTTTTGCTGTAAGTCCAGCAAAAAGTGGTTTCTATTTTAATAACAATGTGGTGCCCGTTTTGGTTAATCTAGTGAATTAAATACATTAAAAAATACATGCACTAATAAAAGATATTTACCACAGTATAAACGGTACAGCAAAATCTCTACCGGTTGGCACATTTCGCCATCACATTATATATACTGTCATACTAATCAGCCCTAATTGACAGAAAGCCAGGTAATTTGATTTTTTCACATATTTATCAAGTTTTGCTGTAGCCAGTAACTAGGTGAAATGTTTAGATCGATTAGCAAAGAGACAGGTAGCACCATGGCATCTTTGTGCAAATAAGCAGGTGAAGTGACAGAGAGACAAGTAAGAGGGGTGAGCAGTTGGACAGGTAAACAGGTTATACTCTTGCACCAGTAAACATACAGGCTGACGTTTAATCTTCCTTTTGTCACTTCGCTTGCACTCACCTCCTGCTTGGCTGATTTAAAAGCGCTTTGAATCACAATCAGTCATCTGACAGTGGGGGAGTTCAGCCTATCTCACACTGTGGCATAGCTGACTCATGTTTTACCTCACCTCTGTGTGGCTCTCTGTTAACTTCTCATTCTCTCTTGCCCTCTCTATTTCTCGGATTCAGGTCCTCTGGTGAGTAGACAAATATATCGTTTCAGTGAAGAAGGATTGGTAAACGCTCGCTTTGACTACAGCTACAACAACTTCAGGGTCACCAGCATGCAAGCTATGATCAACGAAACGCCACTTCCGATTGACCTCTACCGCTACGTGGACGTGTCGGGACGAATCGAGCAGTTTGGGAAGTTCAGTGTCATCAACTACGACCTAAACCAGGTCATCACCACGCATGCAATGAAGCACACTAAAATCTTCAACCCAGAAGGGCAAGTGATCGAGGTTCAGTACGAGATTCTGAAATCCATAGCCTACTGGATGACACTGCAGTACGACAGCATGGGACGTGTCATAAATTGCGATATTCGCATTGGCGTGGACAGCAACATCACACGGTATGCGTATGAGTATGATGCAGATGGGCAGTTGCAAACGGTTGCCATAAATGACCGGCCACAGTGGCGTTACAGCTATGACCTAAACGGAAACATCAACTTACTGAGTCATGGTAACAGTGCCCGTTTGACACCACTACGCTACGATCTCCGTGACCGGATCACACGCCTCGGTGATATCCAATACCGCACCGATGAGGATGGGTTCTTGCGCCTCCGAGGCAACCTACTCTTTGATTACGGTTCGAATGGACTTCTTTTGGGCGCCTATGACCGGGACAGTGGACAGAGGGTGTGGTACCGTTACGATGGGCTCGGGAGGAGAGTGGCCTGCCGCAATAGTGATGGAGCACAGCTGCAGTTCTTCTACGCTGATCTGATGGAACCGACGCGGGTGACACACCTATACAACCACAGTAGTTCGGAGATCACCTCCCTCTATTACGACCTTCAGGGACACCTCATCGCCATGGAGATGAGTAGCGGCGAGGAATTCTATATAGCATGTGACAATGCCGGAACTCCTCTTGCGGTTTTCAGTAGCCGCGGCCACGTGGTGAAGGAAATTCGGTACACACCTTACGGAGACGTTTACAGAGATTCCAATCCCACCTTTCCTCTCGTCTTCGGATTTCAGGGTGGCCTCTATGACACTTTCACACGGTTGGTGCATCTCGGTCGACGTGACTATGACGTGGTTGCTGGAAGATGGACGACGCCCAATCATGAATTGTGGGCGGAGCTGAGTGTGAATCCCAAGCCATTTAATTTGTATGCATTTAGGAACAACTATCCTCTGGGAGACCTACAGGATGTAACCAAGTTCACAACTGGTAAGAGTGAAGTTTTGTGACCATTAAAGGATCCACTTTGAATGTATTTAGGCTAAAGTTAGCTTTATCATAAAACAGAATTAAAATCTTCAGGGCATCTTCTCCCTAACTGGCTACGCACTTCAACTTGGATTCTACTTTGGGTTGAAATTAAAAGTAAGGGGGCGACAGCCAGTCAGGTGAAACAAATGTCATGCTTTTGGTTTGGCTTTGTGAGCTGTGATTGTGCTTTTATGCCAGTGACATTTCCCTAAGGGGAAATGAACAGCATAGAAATAGCACATGGCAGAGCTGAGATTCATTAGTTAGAGCCGAAGCAACTTGCTGTAGACTAATTACTAGGGACAGTCTCCCTCAAGCTAACTAGGGTCAAGTGTCTTGCTCAAGGCTACATTGGCATTACACCAAGATCTTCATAACCCAGGGTCAACTCCCTTTTAAAGTGGTCCTGCTGAGCAACAAAACAAAAAGATTTGTTTAATATGTAAATGTGTTCCATAAATAACACAAAGTCTCACTGAATCCAGGGGAATCATGCTAAATGTTTTTGGTCACAGTCACACTACATTAAATGCACTTGTTACTCTCAAACCTTTTTGTTTGTTCTGTTCTGTTATTTTATGTAGCTCACTATTTTCTGACATTGCAATCACATGAGCAGAATAGTTCCTTATGTAGTCTTTTACCATGACCAGCAAGTTCTATGAATGGACTTTAAACCGTAAGGCAGGGGTGTCAAACTCAATTCCTGGAGGGCCGGAGCCCTGCAGAGTTTTGTTCCAACCCTGCTCCAACACATAGTATTCAAATAAGCCTGAAGGACTTGATTAGTTGGATCAGGTGTGTTTAATTAGGGTTGAATCTAAACTCTGCAGGGCTCCGGCCCTCCAGGAATTGAGTTTGACACTCCTGCCGTAAGGCTTTCATGATAGCATACATCTTAAACAGCTTTACAGTGTTTTGCATCTGTTTCTGTGCAGATGTCAGTAGCTGGCTGCATCTCTTTGGGTTCCAGCTTCATAATGTGGTTCCAGGGTTCCCCAAACCAAAGGTGGAGAACACAGAGCAAACATATGAGATGATGGCCACACAGATCCGCACACAAACATGGGATACCAGCAAGGTGAGTTGAGGTATCCCCACAGCACAGTATTCATTGCAAACACAATTATTTAGAATTACTTTTTAGTTTAGTCATAATTAAATAGTTTTCTTAAAAATTATTTGTCATCATTTGTCAAGGTTCCAATATGACCGAAAAGCACCATAAAAGTATTTAAAAAGTATTATATTCTATTAGGGCTGTGCAAATAATCGAATGTGATTTTCATGTGCATCTCGTCAGTAAAGCCGGTTCTGTGATCAGTAGTAAATCTCCAGCACGTGCTTTCAGATGGAGCGGCATTTACTACACAGAGCCGTAGATCACTGACAAGCTACGCAATATCACATTCATAATCGCAGGTGATTCATTGCCGATTTTGAACGCGATATTGCGTAGCTTGTCAGTGTATATATATATATATTCTATATTATGCTTATGCTTTATGTCCCAACTCTTCTGAAGCCATGTGATAGACATCTTCTTGGCACATTCATGAAAGTGTTAGCAATATCAGATTCGTGAATGAATCACACTTCATAAATCAAATCTTTTGAATTAAATGAATGATCCAGTTCACAAAACCTGAATGAAATGTGCACAAATCATACATTTCTCCAGTTTAAATCTCCAACTCAATTTAGTTGCGTTGGTTCATTTGTTGATAAACTTCCTTTAGGAGTTCATTTTGTGGATCAAACAACATTCGTGGTAACTAATTCATAAAATCTCCCCTCAGATTGTACTTGGCATCCAGTGTGACCTTCAGAAGCACTTAAAAAACTTCATTTCATTGGATCGCCTCCCCTTGACGCCAGCCAATGGGAAAATCGGAGGTCGCCAGGGCCGCAGACCAATTTTTTCTGCCCTTTCTTCAATTTTTGGCAAAGGTGTAAAATTCGCCATCCGTGAAGGAGTAGTGGCGACTGAGATAATTGGCGTGGCGAGTGAGGATAGCCGTCGTGTGGCTGCCGTACTGAATGGCGCTATATACCTGCGTGGCCTCCATTTCACCGTGGAGGGACGTGACGCACACTATTTCACCAAGGCCGGCCCACTGGAGGCAGATCTGGGAGTGGCAGGGGGCGGTGCTGGAGGTGGAGTCCGAGTGTTAGAGAATGGCGTAAACGTCTCGGTGTCCCAGATAAGTGCTATGGTTGGAGGGGAAATGCGGCGATTCGCTGACATTGTGCTCCAGCAGGGGGCGCTTAGCTTTAACATTCGTTATGGAGCAACGCCGGAGGAAGAACGCACGCGTGTGCTAGAGGCGGCACGAATACGAGCTGTGCAGGGGGCGTGGCTATGGGAGCAGAAGAGGGTCCTGGAGGGGGAGGGTGGAAGTTTGCCATGGACTGAAAAAGAAAAGGATGAGCTCGTTGCAGAGGGCCGTGTCTCAGGGTATGATGGTTTCTACGCTCTACCTGTTGAACAACACCCTGAGCTAGCAGACAGCCCCTTCAACATTCACCTGATCAGACATGTGGAAACTGGTCGCAGGTAACAGCGGCACCTCAGCACACCTCTACATGCCTACACGCCCCTTTATACACTCCAAGCTACCACATATCTCTTCAGCTTTTTCTAGAACCCCAACCAAACGAAGCGAGAAAGACTCTATTGCCTTTAAAATGTGACAAATGATGGTAATGTTTTTGATTTTGCATTTGTTTATGCACTCTTAGCAAGTTTGGATTCCTGTTTTTTGGTTTCGTTAGGTAGATTTTGTTGAAAGTCGTTCTTGTTTTACAGTGGCTTAACCGTTCTTACAAAAGAACAAGCCTTGCTTGCCAATCTGAGGGCACAGAGAACGATTCACCTGTGACTATTCTTGGCATATATTGAGTCTTCATCTCTACACATGCTGATTCTCTCACTTGAGCGTGCACAGTAATCATTCGACTTTATGGGAATCTCGAGTCAAACTGGTTATGGCATTAAATCTTGCAAACCTGAGGGGTTTCATTGTGATTTCATTGAGCTCTTTGTTAAACATTTCTCTCCAAATTTTCAGTCGATCTGCATTTCAATGGAGCTCTAAGAACTGTCATATCTCAACAGCTTTCTGGAGTCCTTGAGAAGAATCTGACTCAAAACCGCCACAAAACTTAACCCCTGGGCTGCAAGAGATTCACAGTGTTTGGAGTCTTGGCAAGAGCTTACCACCACCTTATGTTGTTTCTGCTAAATCAGTGTTGACGAAGCTGAGATAATTACGCCGCTGCTGTGGAAGACAAATTTGTTCTTTTTTTTTTTTGCTAAAACTGTACAGTTAAAACTCATTTTTTCCAAATGTAGAAATCAAAAAAATATTATGTGTGGAAATTGTGCCTTCCTGGTCTGCTAGAAACGATCACATGAAACGGGCTTAGACATATCGTACATACTCAACTTCAGTATTCATCACATGCCTTAGTTATATGCAATTATTTATTTTGGATTATTTTATTTTAGTTTTTATTTATTTATTTATTTTTGGTGGGGAGGGTTTTGGCTAGCGGGAGCCAAAAAACGTGAATGCTAATATGCCTGCGAGGTGAATTCTTGTAAACCGACCCCAGGATATAAACACAGTGGCATAAACATGTCCCAGTTTACAGTTGATATGCTGCTCTTTTTTTATTTGTTCTCATGTGATTTCACTCTTCTGTTGCTTTCGCTTTTGCTGTACACTTAATGTGAAACTCACATCACGTGTTTGTCATTTCAGTTTCTTCACCAGTGTCAAAGATCCAAACTTTTAGAATTTTTCCAGTACTTTGACAGGTCCTTTTCCTTTTTTCTGATCCCTCTCGAAACTAGTAGGAGACCTGAGGAGGAAGATATGTAGGGAAATGAAAGAATCACCTGCTGAAGAACGGTATTTTTGTCTTTTCCAAACTATTAAAGTCTGCAGCACTGTGGGTAGACGTTCTGTGTGTAGGACTCTTGATATGGACTTGTATATCATTAATGGACAATGGTAGACTGTTTATAGATACTGGACTATTTATACATGACACTCAAGAGAATTAGGAGTAAATGTATTTTCTTGTGAATTCTGTGGATATGCTGTACCATCAAGCTTTGTAATCTTAATCTGAGATATATATTTGCACTGAATATAAGGTGAAGAGATAAATGCATTAGACTGAATTTTTAGAGTGTGCAAATATTAACAGATTCGTGTGAGAGGTGCTCTGAAGGCACGTTATGTTTCCAACATTTTGCAGATGTTCATTTCAATCGAAGTACGATTATGTTGCACGAAGAAAAAAAAAATTGTGGCAGAAATATTTTTCTTTTGGTCTTAGTTTGCATCTTTGCCATAATCACAATCATTGCTGAAGTGAAAAAGGAATATGTAACTTTGTTCATGATCAAATCATCTTCCTCTCTCAAAAGTCAAGTACTAAAAAAACTTCAGTGTCCTCTCTTTGGCCAAACAAGTTCCTGTGGTGTATATTTGGCAGATAGGCTTTATGTACACAGATTAATGCAGTTTGTTAAACATGCCTATTTAAAAACAAAGTACTTTGGGCAGTGGCCTTTTTATAAATAAAAACGCAAATGTAACCCTTTCTTCTGTGTGTGAGTATTTGCACAGGACAGCTGAAGCACTTGCTCACTCCAGAGTGATATCTTTCATTTGTATCATTTGCACCTTTTTTGTCCACTTGTCCGTTTGTTTCTCAAAACAGTGGAGCATTCAAACACAGAGGAATTCATTGTTTTGTATCAGTTTAAAGAATCATAAAGATTCAAATAGAACATTCTTCAGCTAATATTTTTGTAACTTTGGAAAGAAAAAGTCAATTATGCATATTTTGTTGATTTTATTTTTAACATCAGAAAGGCTCTGAATTTCCTTACACACAAGACCATTTTGTTTTTAGCATTAATGTGATGGTGTTATTGAAGGAATTGTGGCACTAAATTAAGTTTAATTAGAAAATGTGAACACAAAACCGTTGTTTCCTGTTCAATTGCCAGAAGTATAGTCTAAAACAAGTTTTTACACAGAAACACTTGGTTATTATCAAACAAAAAACAAATAGCAATCAAGCTCAGGAAGGACATTCTATTCAATATGGGATTACATCTCTGCCACAATTCTGCGCGCGAAAGATCATATTTTGAACGCGCAAAAGTGCTTTTTGCACGCGCACGAACTGAGTTTTGTGGAGAAAATGTTTGTCTCGCAAAGAAGAAAGTATTTCAAACGCGCGGAAATCAATTTTGCATTTAAAATAAGTTTTTGGATTTGTGCAGACCTTCTCTTTTGCGCGTGCAACGTTTCACTAGCTTGCTCACCTGATGCCCGCCCTCAGCGCTCTCTAAATACCAACAGCTCGCCTGCTCAACACAACCCAGCGTTACAATGTGCCATAATTCCAGCCAATCAGAGACGAGGCTGCTAAATTCTGATTGGCTGCCTTGACAACCAATCACAACATTCCTTCCGTTCCCTCCACCGCAGACGAGGAAAAAAACAGT